TGTTTTATTCATTTCTGTATTCTTAGCATTTAGCACTGTGGCTTGCAGATAGCAAGTGCCTCCCCTCATGTCCCCCGAAACCCTCCAAAAAAACGCAAAAGAGGACTTAACCTTTGAGGGTATTTGATTGTTCTGTTTGGATTATAAGAGCATATGTGCTCTTTCAACCATAATCACATTTCTTTTAGTGAAGGAAAATAAACTAATGTTTATCTTTAAATTGATAGCTTATTTTTCCCTCTGACCATACTAGAACGAAGATTTGCCAGCTAAGGAAAAGCTAGCTAATGTTTTCTCAGTCACTGGGCTTTGTGGAGAAGGTGCATAACTTGAGAATAGAGTAAGCACATATGGTTGTTCCAGACCAGGTGGCATCTGCTTTATTGGAAAGAAGGCTTTTACAGAGATCTGCTCTTCTCAAATAGTTGATTTGTTTCTCATTTTCACTGATTGGTGATGAAATAGATGAAACCAAACTATAGAAACTTGTGCTAGTAATGCCCATTTGGTTAATTTGTGCACTTTTAAATATTCTACTTTAAGTATTTAGGTAAGGGGTCCATTTTGTATATTCTAATGACTTTGGAGTATTTCTGTTTATGGTAGAGATTTTCTAAATATTTTGATATGAGTTGAAAATATATTTTCTGCTTATGGCTTTAAAAATCCTTTAGCACTGACAAACATTTTGAAATATTCTTTATATTTTCAAATATTCCTTATTTCCATAGTTTTCTTATTCCCTTGTGCTTTTACTGTACAGAACTCTAACATTCAAGAGAGATGTAGTCTGAGACTATGAAGTCCCACTGTAATATGAACTAGTCCTCATTTAATGGATCTCAAACTTCTATTTTATAGCTCCAAGATCCATTATTTTCTGGAGATCATTTTACTTTCATCACAAGCACTAATGATTGGCTTTTTGAGATATTTTCATTAAAAAAATACATTTTTTCTGCGTTCCTTGAAGACTAGTATAATAATGCTCCTTTGCCTTGCTGAGCAGGTGACTTGACTCACTAGCTAAATGACTGACTGTAAAACTATGTCAGTAGTTCTTTACTAATAGTTAAAATCACAAATGTCGGGGTCTGCTTCATCGTATTTTTTGAAGTGTTCAGGAGGTGGAAGCAGTAAGAGAATTCTGAGTGGAAGTACTCACTGTCTCACACTAGGTTAATCTTCCTACAGCATGATTTTCTTGTGTTGTTATCCATGATGAAACTCTCCACTGACTCCTTTCGTGTAGGCTGAAGTCAATAGACTGTTCACTTATGATGTTAACCTACAATTATTACTAAATACTAATTTTTAACTTTCTGTGTGTGCATCTCCCCAGAGATCCTGTAAGGTTTTGGGTGGCCAGTCCTCTGCCCTCCCTCCCATGAGTCATGTCCTTCCCACATACAAAATACACCTTTCCTTCCAAGGTTCCCAAAAGTCTCATCCCGTTATGCATCACCTCAGAGTCCAGAATCTACATCAAAATCAGAGCCAGGTGTAGATGAGGCTCCTCAGGTGTAGTTGCTTAAGTACAACTCCTCAAGTATGGTTCCTCTGAATCTGAAGACCTGACCTAAGAAGACAAGTTCTCTAGTCCCCCCAATACACCACCCACACACCCAACATACAGTAATGGGACAGGCGTAGGCTAATTGCTGTAGACTCTCCTGTTCAAAGGGAGAAAATGAGAGGCACAGAGGAGTCCATAGTGCTTTTGAAATTCGGGTAGGCGAAAGTTGGAGGTTCCTTGATTAGATCACAAGGCCTTGGAATAATTCTTTTGGGTTCCAGGCTTCTCCCTCTGAGCTCTGGGCTCCTCCCTCTGATTCATCCTTCCTTTTTCATCAAATGTAGCATGTGTTTGCAGCTGAGTAGTTTTCTCAGTCTGCTTCCTGCCAGTAGAATTTTGGAGGTCTATTAGGTCTCTTTTCACTTTGTACTGTCACTGTCCCTTTCAGGCCAAGTTTGTTTCAGGCCAGTGTGTTTGCTGATATAATTCTCTTGAAAATTTTGTGAGCCTCCTGTGAATCACGTTGGGGTTTATTCCATTAGATAAAAGCCATATCCAAGAATCTCTTCAAAATAGGGCTTTGCAAAGATGTTGAAGTACAATGCTCTCAAGCTTTCTAGCAAGTCTCTTGTTTAATTGAGAGGATCTATAAGACATATCCTTAATCTTTTTAAAGGACTTTTTGTATAACTGATTAATACTGCAAGGTACCACCCTTGATCTTTCTGGGGTCTTAGCAGAAGGTTTTACCATCACCCCCTCAGCTTCATTTACAGGCCATGTTCTGGCGGTGCCCTGGATTCAAACTTTGTTTGGAAGCCATTCTTAACTTTAGCATCTTTCACCATCTAGAGAGGCTGAGAATTTTCAAGACCATTCATGTCCTGGTTTCTTTTTTGTTTAACAGTTCTTTCTTTCGTTTTTCTCTCTTCTCTTGATTTTACTATAAGCAGCCAAAAAAAATAGGCAGTGCCTACAACACTTTGACTTTGCTTGGAAATCTCCTTAGTAGGATCACTCAGTTCATTAGGCACATTTCCTACTTTCCACATTACTGAAGGTGATAGTTTGCTAAGTTTCTACTACTGCTTAACAAAGATCCTCCTTCCAATTTCCAAAGACATTTTCCTTACTTCCTTTTGAGTCCTCATGGGAAGCATACTCAAGGTCCAGCTTTCTACTAACAATCCGTTCAAGGCAACTTAGGCTTTCTCTAACGTGCTCCTCAAAATCCTTCCAACCTCTGCGCACTGTCAAGTTCCAAAGCTGCTCCCACATTTTTAGGTATTTACTATGGCAGCACCCCACTTCCAGTTTCAACATCTGCATTAGTTATCTCTTCCTGTGTAACAAATAACCCCAAAACTTAGCAGCTGAAAACAACATATGTTTATTGCCTTAGAGTTTGGGTGGGTCAGGAATCTGGGCATGGCTTAACTTGTTCATCTGCCTCAAGATCTCTCAACGAGGTTGTGATCAGGGTGTCAGCCGGGGCTGTGGGCTTATTTGAAGGTTCAGCAGGGGAGAATGTGCTTCCTGTCTCCCCCATGTGGTTGATGGCAGGATTCCGTTCAGATCCTGCCGCCTGGAGGCCTCTTTCATAGGGCAGTGGACAATGTGGCTAGATGAATTCCATCAGAGCAAAAGAAGGCTAGCAAGACAGAAGCCAAAATCTTTTTGTAACCCAATCTTGGAGGTAACGTTCCATCACTTTTGCTCTGTTCTCTTTGTTAAAAGCAAATTATTAGGTTCAACGTACACACGAGGGGAAGGGATTATACAAGGGCGTGAATACTGGAGGCAGGATTGTTGGAGGCCATCTTAGAAGCAGTATGATCTTTGGCCGCTATTTGTATGTGACGGTGAATCTGGATTTACTGGGTTTGGAAATTGGAAGAGGGTGTCTAGAACTGTTAGTGCCTACTAACGTAGGTTCTTTACCCACCACACAAGAGGGGCCAAGTGAAAACTGGAACGCCAGGCTTATGGCAAGGAAAGCGTTTTTATTTTGGGTGATATCAACCAGGAGATGAGAGTGAGCCCTCAAATTTGTCTCGTTTTGTCTCATCTCCCTGAAAGAGGGGAGCCAAGGGGTTTTAAAGGTTTGTGAAGAATGTGGCTGCTTGTAGATGGCGGGGGGAGTCAGTGGCCTTGCTGGTCGGAGCTTTCCCACCAGCCTGCATTCGGCCTTGGGAGGAGGAGGAGATGATAAGGCATCCAGGTGGCTGTCCTTGGCTCTGTCTGTCTCCATGGCGGATAGTGGGTTCTGGAGCCAGGGAGCCAGGGAGTAGGCAGGGAATGAGGGTTTAATGTAGGGGAATTGATATCAGGGATGGCATCAGAACCACACCTACGAAATAATATTTGCATAACACGTTTAACAGGATCTTCACAACCTTGTGACTTAATGAGACTTGAAAATAATTGTATAAGCTTAATTTCTCCACACAAACCAAGTTTTATTACTACACAAATGTACCCCTTGTTCATATATTTACATGAACTATGATGGAATAGAAGAGTTTTAGAGAGATTTTTGCAGTTAAAGCAAATCTGACTGTTGGGCAAATGAATCAAGTGCCCTTTTAGCTTTTTCCCAGGTGCTGATACATGTCAGTATTTACATGGTGTATGAAATGAAATAAATGAGTTCACTTACCCTAGATCAATTCTGACATAGAAGTTAGCCTTTTACTTTTCAGAACAGTTTTGGAATTATGGTAGAAGAGGTAACATTGCTTACACGTCCAGTGCAGTAAATATGGGTAATATGGCTCCAGGAGTGTTGTACATAAAACATACACGCAATGAAAAACTCTACTATTGTTGGCATTGGAGGAAGGGGGCTGGGAAGAGTGGTTGTAATGTTCCATACTTGTCTTGGGAAGTATATTTTCACTGAAAGATGGAAACCTTTGAAGCTTTTTTCTTTGTTGTCATACTTCAATGTATTCATTATTCCTGCCCCAAACTGCTTTAACTCTTGGCACAGAGACCGCTTTCATCTAAAGAGAGACATGGCATACTGGCCTGAAAAATAACAGCAATTAATTTTTTCCATAGATTATTTTAGTGTTAGTTGGTTCAAAACTTGGCTTTGTGCGGTCTAATAAATTTAGTGATGTTTAGGTTGAGAATGCATAGTGAGTACGTTTAAGTAATGTTTTCATTTATGGGTGTTAGAAGAGTCATTATTTTCTTCATATTTCCCAGAAACTATGGTGGTTTGTTCTGTAGTTATGCTGTGAGAGCTTACGGCGGAGTGGAGGAAGACAGTTTGCATAGATGCCTAACGCTAGTTATTTCACAGTTGCTTCTAAATCTCTGACTGGGTTTGTGATCCTGAGAAAAATTGCCAACAACAGTAACAGTGTTTTTAAATAATATGGTGGCTATCCAACCATGTTTTAGGTTACTATATATAAAGCAGTTCCTTTCTGGATTATCTGTAATGTGTAAAATTGTCTTTCTTTCTCTTTTGCAGGTGATATAACGTTACATAGCAAGATGGGTAACATCACAGTAGGTATGTACTCAGCTACTAGTTGGTAAATTTTGCTTGCTTTCTAGAATCTCTCTATTTGTGGTATTAGAGTAACTGAAGTTTACAATTTAGCTGGTAAACCCAATAGGATCCTGATATGTGAGTCAAATATAGGCAGACCCAGTGTATGAATATGTGAAGTTATTTCTGGAAATTCATCGGTTCATCATCCTAGAAATATTGTATAATTATAGGTTTGGTGTCAATGAGAATAGTGTTAGAATTCTGATTTCACCACTTTCTGTACATGGGCAAATTGCCTAACTTCTCTGTGCCTCAGTTTTCACATCTGAAAAAAATAGAAATAATAGTAAGTACCTATCATATAGGGTTGTTGTAAGGACTAAACGAGATCGTGTATATAAAGTACTTTAGCACAGTGTCTGACATTTGGTAAAAATTCAATAAGTAATAGCCATTTTTATTATTGTTATTGTTCTAATCCTAAGCCAGAACTAATGGTGGCTAATGATATTTTAGACCTAGTCACCATGTGTGATGCTGTACCTGTGGGAGAAAAAGTTCAGATGTCCAGATGGTTTAGGTAGAGCGTTTTTCTCTCCCGAGTAGCATCTGCTCGTCTTAGGCAGAGGTGCACTCCGAGTGGTGGTGGCTTTTCAGGCCTTGGCAGCGGGAGCAGGGCAGGCCGGGGCTGGGCATGGGAAGCTGGGATCTTTGTGTGGGAGCTGAGGTTACTGCCAGTGTGAATGCCCAGGGCCTCCTGTCTTTGTCCTTTTTGACATGTTACATTTTGTCCTTTGTGCTGAGGGAAAAAAATGAATGTGTTCAACAATCCTTTTCACTTCCGGAGTGCCTTCTGGTCTTTCTGGCTTAAAGTGCATGTCCTCTTTTAAGTTTTCTAGAGATTGTAACTTTTATGTATAATAGCAGATAAATAGAAGATAAAGGCTTCCTAAGTGATAAGTATAAATCATTTTAACTAAGAGGTGACAGAAGGATTTACCTGCGTTCCAGTGGGAAATTAAGATTTACTGTTGACTTTTTAGGCCATTTTATCAGAGGATGCATCTGGGGATGGTAAGGGAAGTTTTGAGGGTGAACAGAAAGGTACCCTGGTGAGATTTTTTTTTTTTTAAAGGTTGGCACCTGAGCTAACATCTGTTGCCAATCTTCCTTTTTTTTTCCTTCTTCTCCCCAAAGCCCACGAGTACATAGTTGTATATTCTAGCTGTGAGTGCCTCTGGTTGTGCTGTGTGGGACACTGCCTCAGCATGGCCTGATGAGCAGTACTAGGTCTGTGCCCAGGATCCGAACTGGAGAAACCCTGGGCTGCCAAAACGGAGCACAAGAACTCAACCACTTGGCCACGGGGCCCACGCCTGCGTTGATTTTTGCATGCTAACCAACCTTGTGTTCCTGGGATAAACCCCACCTGGTCATGATTGATTACCCTTTTTATATATTGTTGGTTTGGGGTTGCTAATATTTTGTCAAGGATTTTTGCCTCCACGTTTATGATGAATATTGATCTGTAATTTTTATTTTGTAAAATCTTGATAGGTTTTGTTATCAAGATTATGCTGGTCTCATAAGATGAGTTTGGATGGATTCTCTCCTATTCTATTTTCTAAATTTGCTTATGATTGCTATCATTTCTTCCCTAAATATTTGATAGAAATCGCCAGTGAAACCTTTTTTCTGTGTGGGAATGTTTTAGATAATGGATTAAGTTTCATTAATAGATATTGTATCATTCTATTTGTATTTTCTGTTTTATCCACTGTTACATTTTGATAAGTGGTATTTTCAAGGAATTTGTCTATTTCATTAAATTGTCAAATTTGTTCACATAATGTTGTTCATATACTTTACTCCTTTTTATGCCTATAGGATCTGTAGTGATAGTCCCTTGTTTGATTCCTGATAGTGATATTTGTATCCTCTTTTTCTTGATTGATGAAGCTAAACTTTATCAATTTTGTTGCTCTTTTCAAAGAACAAAATTTTTGCTTTGTTAATCTCTCTGTTTTCTAATTTACTGATTTCTGCTCTTTTCTATGTTTTATTTACTTTGAGTTTCCTTTGCTCTTCTTTTTTTAATTTTTATTTTTTTAATTTTATTTTTTTTAAAGATTTTATTTTTCCTTTTTGCTCCCCAAAGCTCCCTGGTACATAGTTGTATATTTTTAGTTGTGGGTCTTTCTAGTTGTGGCATGTGGGACGCCGCCTCAGCATGGCTTGATGAGCAGTGCCATGTCCGCACCCAGGATCTGAACCGGGAAGATCCTAGACCGCTGAAGTGGAGCGCGAGAACTTAACCACTCGACCACGGGGCCGGCCCCTCCTTTGCTCTTCTTTTTCTAGCTGTTTCTGGTAAAACATTAGGTCATTGATTTTACTTTCTTCGTTAATATTAGCATTTAAATTATAAGTTCTTATGTTAAACAGTGCATCCCCCAAGTTTTGAAATGTTGCATTTTCATTATCATCTGGTTAAAAAGGTTTTTACTTTTGCTTGTGATTTATTCTTTGATCCAGAAAAGTCTGTTGTTTAATTCATATATTTAAGATTTTTCTAGATTTCTTGTTTTTATTGATTTCTAGTTAAATTCCATTCTGGTCAGAGAACATACTGTGTGATTTCAGTTGTTTTACATTTATTGTGATTTATTTTATCATCTAGCGTATGGCTCTATCTTGTGAATGTATCACATGCCCTTGAAATGAATGTGTAGAGTAATGATTTTTTTTTGTCTAGTTGTTCTATCAGTTGCTGAAAGAGGGGTATAAAATTTTTCAACTAATTTTGTCAGCTTTACATTTGGCCTTTGACTCTCTTATTTAAGTATATACATTGTGATTGTTACGTCTTCTTGGTGAATTTTTTGTCATTATGAAATGTCCTTCTTTATCTCAGGTAATACTCTGTCCTGAATCTGTGTGATTTAATGGTGATAAAGGCACTCTTGCCTTCTTATCCTTAGGGTTTGCATGGCATATTGTTTTCCGTCCAATTCCTCTCCATCTGTATGTTTAAAAAGCATCTTTTGTAGACAGCATATGGTCTGGACTTGCTTTTCTAAATTTTTTTTGAGAATTCTCTGCCTTTTTATTGGAGTGTATAGTCCATAAACATTTCATATAATTGTTGATATGGTTGGGTCTACCATTTTATTATTTATTTTATTTTGTCTCTTCTATTTATGTTTGTTTGTTTCTTCTTCCTTTTTTTACCTTCTTTTATATTAATTGGATATATTTCAGAATTACATTTTAATTTTCCTTTTGACTTTTTTAGCAATACTTTTTTGCGTTATTTTTTGGTAGAGGTTCTAGTGATTTCAGTATAGAAACTTAAGTTTTCACAGTCTATTTAGAATTCATATTATGCCACTTCATATAAAATATACAAAACTTGCAACCAAATAGATCCGTTTACCCCCTCTTGTCCTTTATAGTATAGGGTATCCTACGTCTACGTATATTATGAATCCCTTAATACACTGATAGGATTTTTGCTTTATAATGTCATATGTATTAAAGAACTTGAGGGGAAAATTTTTTTATGTTTACCTAGATATTTACCATTTCCAATGCTCTTCATTTCTTTCTGAAGATATGAGTTTTATAATTGGTAACATTTTTTTTCACATTTCTTGCAGTCCAAGTCTGCTGACAACAAATTCTCTTAGTTTTCTTTCATCTAAAAATGTCTTTATTTTGCCTTCTTTTTTGAAGGATATTATCACTGGGTATATAATTCTGAGTTGATTGATTTTTTTTCTGTATGAATAAAATATAAACCAGGACAAAAGACAAATGACAGACTAGAAAGACATCTACTATATGTGTGTGTGTGTATATATATATATATATGTATATGTCTTTACACACACATACATATCTGTGTGTGTGTATGACAAATGAAAAGAAGAGAACACTTAGTGGGATGGGAACATGGATAAATGTGAACAAGCAGTTCACAGGAGAAATGGTATACATATACAATGTTGTTCCACCTTACTACTAATCAAAAACATCTAAATATAAGCAGCCATGACTTAAAATATTGATAATATCCATTGTTGGTAAAGTTTTGGTGAAGCAGGGATTTCTATCAATTGTTAGTTCAGATATGATGAACCATTTTGTGGGTCGGTTTGGAAATGTATATCAAAACTGGCAGCATCTACATGTGATTTGCTCTGGCACTTCCTCTTTTAGGACTTTATCCCAAGGAGATAATCTGGCAAAGATATAAAGATACATGCGTGAAGACAGTCATCTCTTTGTTTAGAATAGCAAAAGATAGTGTACATTTTAAGTTGTTCCCAGTAAGAGAATAGTTAAATATATTATAGCACATCCATAAAGTGAAATATCACTCAGCCTTCAACAGTGTAATAACCTAGCTCTGTAGTTTACAATGTAGAAAGATATTCCTAACATTTTATTAAATGGAAAAAACAATAGAAAACATTGTACTGTTATTTCAGAATATACTGTGTATATTTTTACAGTAAGTATTAAATCAGAAAAGGAAGGGAGGGAAGGAGGGTAGGAGAGCGGAACAGAGGGAGGCATGGCAAAAATTATCCCAAACTTAAATAGAAATCAGAACTGTTTGGGTCCTGTTGTAGGCATCTTCCTTTGAATATATCTGGACCTAAAAGTCACTGATTTGTGGGAATACATTGCATTTCTGCTGACGACCAGAGCAGGAGATGCCATAGCATTTTCGAAGAACCCACTTCTCCTTTATGATCAAATAAACATTGCTAATGTTTTGTTCAGGAGGAACATACAGCTTAAGGGGTTAGACAAAAAAGGTTGTGGCGTCATCTTTAAGCAAGTCAGCGGAGTCCTAGTTATCTACTTGGCAATATGCTCTTTCTCACTTTAATAAATTTGCTGGAAGCAACTTCGTTACCCCTGGAAAATAGTGAACAGTCGGGGTCGGTGAAGAGGTAAAACTACCTTGAGACAACAACTTTTTTCATTTCAATAAACAAAAATTTTATACCTATATGTGTATTTCTGAGGCCTTAGAAAAAGAGCTGGTTTCAGTAATTTGGTAAATCTCTTTGTCTTAAATAGAATCAAATTTTACATTTTGTTTTTTGGGGAAACAAGCTCATTTCCTCAAAACAACATGGTTAGCTCTAGGCGTCAGAAGACAAGGTCTGTAAAGGGCCAGATAGTAAATATTTTTGGCTTCGTGGGCCAAAAATCTTTGGCTCTCTGTACTATGCAACTCTGTCATTTAACACAAAAGCAGCCATTGACAATTCACAGACAAACGGATGTATGTTTGTTCCGATAAAACTTTATGAATAAAAACAAGAGGTAGGTTGTAGTTTGCTGACCATACTGTAGAGTAAAAACCATTGTTATGATTTTGGACGAATTTTGGGTTTGATGCCTTAATCCCAAAGGTGACAAGTAGGTTATGTTTATTTCAAATTTCTTGATTGGTTGGTTTGTGTTTTCCTTAAAACAAAAGATTTGCTGGAGAAGGTTGAAGGCAGCTCTACAAATAGGGACAACCTAATTAAAATCCATTGAGGAGCGTGGATTTTGAGGAATAGAGATTAGTAGAAGCAAAACAATTACAAAGAAACAAAAAGTGATTTGTAGGAACCTAGAGGTAAATTTGTTAGAATAGCAGAGGCTTCAGAATATTGGAACAGGCGTTGAGAGGGGGTTATATAATAATATCAAGTTGGAATATTAAGAGACTTGAGATGATTTAGGTATTATCTTGTCTGATTTCAGGGAAATGGAGGAAGTGTCTTCTCCATGATTCCTTTATTAAGAAGAATATATGTGATTATGGTCCTTTATTTCTGGTTTAGATAATATAATTGATCAGCTTCTTAAGTAATCTCATTAGTCATCTGGATTTTGCATACACATTCTAACCTACCTCCCCAAAACCTTCTTCTTGCTTTCCATAATACAGAGCTCTCTCAGAAGCTGAAGTTCTATAAAAAATTCGATTGTATCTATCAGAACCCTGATTTTTCTTGGACTCATATTTTTAAAAATAATAGCTTTCTTCTGGAACACCAGGTCATCTTCCGTTTGAAACTAGTCCACAGGAGAAAGCAGAGCTTGGTGGTAGGCAGTGGTGGGATAGGAGCGCTGATAGAATTGCTCCCCCAGCTGTGCTTTGTTTGCCCTCTGTTGCCTCTCTTGGAAAGCACTGCCAGAGGCTGTGTACTGGTAACTCCATCTGTAAAGAGAACATCTTCATGTTTTGGGGGGTGGGAGTGGGGGGCAGTTTGCCTTGTCTATCTCTCGTAAGCCCGGCCTCCCTTAGGTGCCCTCCCTAATACAGAATACCTAGGCAGGACATTAATGTAGAAAGCTTTAATTGAAGTGGCCTTACAATTCTGCCTTTGCAGATCCTTTACGTCCTATGTATACAAGTTGTTTTTGCTTTTGCAATTAGTCTAGCTTTGGAAGTGTAGGAATCAAGTTGCAGAAATCAAGAAATATGCTTTGTGTTGCTGTTCCTTAGTATCTACATGTTGAAACTTGAGGTAAAGTTATAAAAATTCAGAAGAACTTTCTGAACATACTTGACCAATTTTGAGAGAATTCTCCCTTTATCTGAAGGAAAATAGCAAAGTTTGGAATTTTAGTCTTTCAGGCTTAGTTGTTATTCTCTGCTATTAGCTGAGTGTATATTACAATATCTATTTCCCTGGTTGTAGGTAGTGTTAGCTGGTAGTAGACATCAGTTTTTGCCTTTTGTGTGTGTAATTTTCCAGGAAAACTCAGTGGTCGCAGTTAGACCAACAAGGTCTTTGTCCAAATTTGTGATAGAAAACTCTCTGTGAGAGTCTACACATTCCAGCCACGGTCTGGACTGACAATTTCTGTTCGCTTCTGAATCACCCTCTAATGCATATTTCCCTTACAGCTTCTTCCAAGGGCTGTAGAATTTCTCCATTATGTGAATCTCCAAAAAATGAAATCCTGTGGATAAAGCCTCAATTTGAGTCTTGATAATTAATTTTTAGTTCCAGTCATTTGTATTACAGAAAACAAAAGAAAATCATCAATTATTTTGCTACATAGCTATTTAAATATCACCTTTGCTTTCTCTTTTGAAAACACGTCTTGAGTTTTAATTTTTTTCTTTCCTGACAGCCTCTAAGGGATGGGCCATTATCAGAGCTCAAGACTGATAACATGAGGATGTAATTACTTCGCGGCTGAGGATATAATTATTTAGCTGTTGTTTTTTTCCCATTTGGGTGGAAAAAAGAAGTGAAAAGTATTGTTTATGAGCCACATAAAAATCTTGTGGGATTTTTTCCCCCTAGAGAAAGCAAGAAATCAAGCTAACGTTTCAGATATTTTACTTTGTTCAACCTGGGATAATATACACATTGTGTAGTCGACATTTTTTTACCATCGTATATTTTTACCTGGCTTCTTTTAGGATGTGGTAAGAGGTTTTAAAAGGAGTTTCCGTTGGTACCTGAGGAGAGAAACACTCATCTTTATCCAGCTATTCCCTGTGTTTTATCTCTAGTGGCTTAATTTCCCAGCATCAGTGTTTACTTTTGACATTTAAAAATTAAATTTGGTCTGATAAAGGACATTTTTCAGTATAGATTAGAGATAAATTATTATAAATTATCTTGGAGTCAGGTTTTAAACAGTTTATTCCCAACTTCTCTTTGTTTGGAGTCATTTAAAATTTATTTTAAAGAAAAATGTTGGCTTCTTTGTGATAATACAAATGTTTTCTCTCCACATTTTATAAAAAGTATAATACAATTTTTGGCATTATTTTCACCGTACTCCCTACTTTTTTTCCACGTTGAAGTAATAAAACCTCCTGATAAAATCTGCTTTTTAAGAGGCCTCTCAAAAAAAAAAAAATGCTTTGGCCTTCTCAGGGCAGTCAGATAGATTATTAAAGGTTCAGTTGCCGTGGAAGAGGAGGAAGGAGAAGCTGCTTAGCACTGACTCGTCAGCATCATTCTCTCACTTCTGTATCTCTGACTCTGTCAGCTTTCCCTTGAACTTGAAATATTGACTGATTGAAAACAGATCAGGGGCCAGCCCCGTGGCCGAGTGCTAAGTTCCCGTGCTCTGTTTCAGTGGCCCAGGGTTTCACTGGTTTGGATCCTAGGTGCAGACATGGCACCACTCATCTAAGCCCTGCTGAGGCAGTGTTCCACATAGCAGAGCCAGAAGGACCTACAACTATAATACAACTATGTACTGGGGGGCTTTAGAGGGAAGAAGAGGAAGAAAAAAAAGGAGATTGGCGACAGATGTTAGCTCAGGTGCCAATCGTCAAAAAAAAAAAAGAAAAATATATATATATATTTTAAAAAAAGAAAAAACTGGGATCAGTGATGACATGGGGAAATTTGAGTGTCAAATCAGGACCACCTTAATTATGATTTTCTTACCCTGACTTAAAGATATCAGTTCAATTCCAGAAACTTGAAATATTTAGATATAAACAAGCTTCACCTACTGTTCAAATGATTCCTACCCCACCCATTTCTGTCCCTCTAAGAAATGCAACAAAACCTCAACTAGTAATTTTTACCTATTAGCAGCACTTTTCAGTACTAGCAAATTTGCTAAAAGGAGAAAATTTTATAAGAGGTTTTGATTTTTGTTTACTTTGCTACTATTTATATGTGACTGTACGTGAGATAGAATTCTTTAGTAAATGTTGAAAGTTGATAATAAACTAAATATATCAATGAGGCTTAATGGTGTTGGCTTTCAAGTATCCATTGCTTGTGTACTGTCCTTCCAAACATTAGGTTTCAGAGTAAACATGTTTAGAGATAAGTTAGGCAGGCTACTATAGACGTAGAGATTTTTTATTAGTTGTCTAGGTAGATTTCTTATTCTGTTTTCATTTTAAAGCAAAAGATGGCATAGTGATGTGGAAAATACAAAACCTTGCAAGACTCTTAGCTCCTTATCCTAATACTGAAGCAGAGCCTTTTTTTTTCAAGTTTATAATTCCAATTACTGAAATAAGAATGATTATGCTTATGAGTTTTCCTTCCTCCTAGATTCGTCCTCTGGATGTCTAACAGCCTCGACTCAGCAAGGTGCCGTAGATGTTTATGTCAGCCAACTGGGAAAAGTGGATTTGAAAGCCCACAAAGGTTAGCTGAGCGGAATGTCTTATTCTGACATGGTGTAGGGAAGACTTTGTGTCACAGTCAGAAAACAGATGGTCAAATTATCTTACCCATACTGACATAGTGACTTCAAGAAAATTTCTTCTCATAGAAGCTGATTTAAAGACTAAAACACTAGTCTTCTAGACCAATGATCTTTGAAACTTTTGGGACAGGTGGCCATGAAGACTGTTTTTCCCTTTGCAGTGCAAACAAAAATATTGTGATGTACTGACTGTCTGTTATTGTGGAATTTTTTAGTGTTAGTATTTGGGTTTTTCAGTTTATTTTTATGTCTGAAATAGAATATTCTTTGGAGGAAACATGTTCCCATACGTTCTTTTGGAAACATTCCAGCCTGTAACAGGACCTTCCCTAGAGTAATACTTTCAAAGTGTGATCCTGAAATAAAGGTATCACCAGGAGGGTCCTCTGAAGTGATTGTTGACTTAGTCTGTTCAAGTGTCCAAGACTTATGATGTGTCTCTTTTCTTTTCTTTCTTTCTTTCTTTTTTTTTTTTTTGAGGAAGATTAGCCCTGAGCTAACATCTGCTGCCAATCCTCCTCTTTTCGCTGAGGAAGACTGGCCCTGAGCTAACATCCACGCCCATCTTCCTCTACTTTATACGTGGGACCCCTACCACAGCATGGCATGCCAAGCGGTGCCATGTCCGCACCCGGGATCCAAACCGGCAAACCCCGGGCCGCCAAAGCGGAACGTGTGCACTTAACCGCTGTGCCACTGGGCCGGCCCCTGGTGTGTCTCTTTCTATAATCTTATTTCTAGTACAAATAACTTATTCAAAGAGTCCAAGTCTTTCATTAAAAATGATCTGAAGACTGAATGTGAGTCTCTGTGTGTGCGTGTGCGCACATACATGCACACATGCACGATGGCCAGTGGCTTGGGTGAGATATGGAAAGTTAAGAACCTTATCGCTGTATAAAAAATTTTTAAACAAAGTCTAGAAGCCCTTGCACATTGGCCAGAATAGGGCTATGTGTTTAACAAGGAAAATACTTCCTTACAGAAACCAGTCGTTCCTGCTGTTAGTAATTTCTTCGTCATGTTGGTTCAATACCTTTTTGTCCAATGAGGCCCCTTTGTCAGTGTCAAAATAAAACTACAGAACACAGAGGTCTGAAACTGAAGTTACTACTACACAGGTGTGATTTGATTTTTCAAGCTCGCTTTTTTCCCCTTTAAAATAGGATAATATGTTTTCACTGAATTTCTAAGAGCTTCGATAATACTATCCAGAGTATTCTGTAAATGCCATAAAAGTCATATAATTGCATTTTCTTATTACAAAGACCCAAGGAGAAAAAAACGTAAACCATTACATATTTAATGTAACTAATAACAGAGCAAAAATGAAGTTTTGAATAAACAGCTCTTACATGAAAGTTATTACCTGGTTTGTATGGATGGGCAAAAAAGTAAAACAAACAAAACACATTGTCAATCTTTATCTACTTAAAATATTTTTGAGTATTATTTAGAATGTTGTTCCAGTAACCTATGGAAATAGTATACGATGTTGCAAAATTTGATTAGGATTACAACTTTGTGTTTTTCTTCTACTGGGGCCATGTTTCTGGTGAAGCTTAAAGATAAGCAGAAACAGAGATTTCTATCTTATTTCAGGTCTCTTAATTCTCGCTACATTTGGGAACAGTAACTTTTTAGAGTAATGGAAAGTTATTTAGGCTTCCGTTGCTTACTGGTTAGTAAAGACATCTGGAATCCATTCCAGTCTACACTGTCTTGCTGTGGGGTTCAAGAGCCAGCCGCTTGAAGTCTCTTAGGTCTTCTCCGTTTTGCCAAGTGAAAACGAATGTTAGAATACTTGTTTTCATTTTTCCCATGAAAGTTAACATGCTGACCTTATAGTTCATTCAGAAAGGCTATATTTAAGCTTGAGAGTCAGACCTGCATATAAGTACTGATTTTTCCACTGAAAATTTGTCCTTGATAAAACCACTAGCCTTAATATAGTAGGTCTCAATAAATGGTACTATATTAGTTCACTTTTTAATTTAAAAAAAAATGGTGTTGCTGTCAATAACCATGAAGCAGTTTATGAAGTGAAAAGAGATTGCAGATATAACAAGAGCTCTTTTTTCTAAAAAAGGTAGTGTTGAAGATGGGACATTTGGGGAAGTTTTCAAGTCACGAGAATTCTTCCTTCACAAACAGTACTGGAGTTTTGGTACTGATTGTTTCTGGTTTTTTAAGGGTATGAGAGAGATTGGGATAGAACTATTTGCATTGCTTAACGCTTTTAAAGCTCTCACAGATTTAAAGTCTCTTTATTTATTTAAGAAGAGAAAAAAGTGTTTGTAAAATTATCACATTTGATATATTTAGAAATATAAAGTCCAAGGAAAAAGTTTTTTAAGTCTGTTATTTTCTACTTTTTAAAGTATGTTTGGTAGAAAAACATGTATCTTGTATTCATCCTGCAGTTGTCCAGGGTTGTTTTGGTGTTGTTTTTCCTAAAGCCCTCGTGTCTGTTGTTATGGGAACCTCCTGTCAGTAGTTCACATTTAAACCCTGAAAGCAATTTGGTTTTTAAATGAAATAAATTAGTTGAAGTGATGTGCTTTGTTCCCCCGTTTTAAGGAATAAATATGAGTTATCAGTCTTACCCCAAACTTCCCACTCCAGTTAGGAAGGCTGAGAAGGTATGAAATGACTTAGGGAAACTTAAGCTGATGTTAGCCAAACCAGAAGGCAAACAATGACCCATAAATAATGCATTCTAAAAGGAGTCTTTACAACACTAACAGTGAATGTCATCCTGACCTTCTTTGTCCACAGAGATGGGTGAATGGTTTATGGCAGGGCCTCTTACTTACTTCATTTGATATATGAGAAACAAAAAGAAAAACTTCTGAAATAGGAGTGTGCTGGTGAGTTCACACTGCAGCCCACGCCATTGTTTTCAAAAATGGTTCCTTTCCTCCTTTAGAAGCTTGAATTACCGCACGATTGTAGTGGAAATAAAGTTGAATGTCTTACCTCAGTTACCCAAGAGACTGTAATCCACTGAAAAGAAACATTCGTCAGTTGAAATTAAAATACTCCTTTTTTATTGTTGTTATCCCCACCCCCAACCCCCCACCACACACCCCCTGTACAAGGTACGGCTGAAAACACGAGCGCTCAGGGTCTAGTTAGTGAGGTCGCAAGTCCTGCAACAGGATGAGGTAGCAGTGTGTGAAACACCACAGTGGTTAAGACAGGGCTTTGTCTCGTGGAACTGGATCTAGATTCCAACTCTGGCTCCAGGGGAGCTTGAGCAAGTTCTCATCTGTGAAGTCAGGATCATACAGTCAATATGGGTATCTTAAAAGATAATGTAATTAAGATGTCTCGCCCTTAGTAACTCCTCGATCAATGGTAAATTCTGTCTACAAGCTACATGTGTAGTAAACTACTCACTTTTCTGGTATAGATGAGCAGACTAAGACTATTAGGAAAAGAAGAAATGGTTCATAATGTCCCAATGACCCATCCTCTTGACAGAAGTTACTGTGATGCCTTGGGAGTAAGAAAGCCTTGACCCCCTGGGAGCGAGGAGGAGGCACCGAGACAGAATGTGCTGACGAGGAAAGACAGTTTAGCGGGAGCCGTGCTGTCCCTCAGTCATTTGCATAATGGGCTCTGGTACTTTTGATTTCTTTGCATTAATAAGCTCTCCTTTAAATTTATTTCAGGCTCTATTGTTGTAAAGGTCGCATCTTCTCTTCAAGCTCATTTACAGTTATCAGGGAAGGAGGTTGATGTGAACTCAGAAGTCCATGTTCAAGAAATGGCTGAAGCTCGTAAAGAGAATGGTGTGATAATTACTGGTAAGGAGGCTATATTTTACTATCTAAGATGAGTAGTCATTCTTCACACGTAAGTAGAAATACTGTACACTTAACTGCAGTTTTAGTCTTGTTGACGAAATAATCCATAACCAATCTATAAATGAAAATTGGGGTGAGTTTATTATGAGCCAGATCTGAGGACTAGCTTAGCCCAGGGCCTTCCTTCCTCAGGAAGGGCACCAAAGAAGTGGGGTGTACAGAGTGGTTATATACCATCAAAGAGCATGTTTCACATATGATTGAAATGTCCCTTTTACAATAGTCACCAGACTGCGCTGTCGGCACAGCGATTGATGGACACAGCAGGTAGGTCTGCTGTCTCGGTGGACAAGCAGGAAGCAGGTCTGTTGTCCGGAGCTGGGTGGTCACAGGTGAGCACAGCAATCAGTTCCTAGCCTAGGGAGAGATGCTTATCCTTAAGGAAATACCAATGTGGGGGAAGTTGCGTCTTTGTCTTAAGGCCATTTGTTCTTGTCTTTGGGACACAGCAAATGCTTAAAGCAGATACACAATGCATGCTCAATGGCCACGTCAGGCCCTCTTGGAAAAAAAAAGTCAGGCCAAATTAGGTTTACACCAAATGGCTTCCTCATGTACCCCAATATATCCTATTGCTTGCCATTTATTTCTCAGTCTTTTATTCCTTTTCATTGTCACATTTTGGTGTTTGACACTTCTTTCTTCTACTGCTTATCAGTAACATAGTGCAGACATTTAGTTTGAAACACTCACTAGTCCTGTCATTGGATAAAATTAACTTAAAAATTTTTCCTATCTCGAAGAGATATTTTCAGACCCATACTCACAACAGCATTATTCACGGTAGCCAAGAGGCAGAAACAACCCAAATGTCTATTAACGGGTGAACAGATAAATGAAATGTGGTATATACATGGAATATTATTCATCCTTCAAAAGTAAGGAAATCTTGTCACATGCTTTAACATGAATGAACCTTGAGGACAGTATGCTGAGTGAAATAAGCCAGTCTCAAAAAAGACCAATACTGTACGATTCCACTTATATGGGCTATCTAAAGTAGTCAGATTCATAGAAGCAGAAAGGAGGAGGGGGGGAACATGGGAGTTGTTCAGTGCGTATAGAGGTTCTGTTTTGCAAGATGACAACGTTCTGGAGATCTATTACTCAACAAAATGAGTATATTTAACTACTAACTGTAAACTTAAAAGTGGTTAAGATGGTAAACTTTATGTTATGTGTTTTTTACCATAATTACAATTCTTAAAAATCATTAAAAAAATTTTTTCTGGCACAGCTGCCTTCTAATTCTTGGACTTAAAAAATCAGCTAAATACAGGGGCTGGCCTGGTGGCGCAGTGGCTAAGTTCACATGCTCCGCTTCAGCAGCCTGGGGTTTGCAGGTTCAGACCCTGGGTGCAGACCTACACACCACTCATCAAACCACGCTGTGGGGGCATCCCATATACAGGATGGAGGAAGATTGGCGCAGAGGTTAGCTCAGCAACAATCTTCCTCACCAAAAAAAAAAAATCAACTAAATACATATATTATAGTGTAAGATTTAAAGTAACCTTTGTATGATTAGAATAAGAGGAATTTGGTTTTGTATCATGCACATTGTAAACTTACTCTTTTAGTACAACAAATTCTCAATCCCAGAAATGTTACTAGCTTTTGTACATTTTTCTAATTAACCTCCAGCTGCATTGATGGCTGAGACTACTTTTTAAAATATTTATTGTATAGATTATACATGTACATAGTAAAAAAAAAATTAATGCTGGTGAATTTTTCCTTTAAATGGAGAAGGACACTGAGATTAAAGTGTGTACATGCATGCAGGCTACAGGCTCGCTCATGAGATAGTGTCTAGGAAAAGGACGTGTGGGTGGTGGCATGTCTTCATAAGATCAAGTTTCAGTTTTAAATATTATTTTATATGTCAGAAAAGTTAACAAAGCAGTCTGTTAAAATTCATGGAATATTAGCAAAAAGCATAACAGTAATACAAAATAGGAAAAAAAACCCAGCTGTGCACTCTCAGCTCTAACTCAGCACCCAGTGGGCAGACTTTTAGTTACACAGAGAAAACTGGGTGAAAATTTAAGTGTATTAAATGTGGTGAGAATCAACTTCTTGTCATCCAGTCTCTTGAGTTTGAAAAGGAACCAACAGTTACCTTTTTGGCCCCTGTAATCTAAAGCAATAATACAAATTTGTTTAATAATGCTCTGAATGATAGCATAAACAACTTATTTTACATATGTTAAGAATTTTTGAGTTTAAAGCTATTTTGTCATTTTTCATTGTGTTACCCGTAGAATCATATGCTTTTCAGAAATTCAGATTAGTTTTAAAACTCTGTCTTGGGCCAGCCCCATGGCCTAGTGGTTAAGTTAGGCACACTCTGCTTCGCTGGCCCAGGTTTGGTTCCAGGCACAGACCTATACCACTTGTCTGCTAGTGGCCATGCTGTGGCAGCAGTTCACATACAAAAAGAGGAAGATTGGCGACAGATGTTAGCTCAGGGCGAATCTCCTCAGCAAAAAAAAAAAAAACAAAAAAACCCAAAACTCTATTCTCGTCAGTTTGGCCATTAAAAAAAAGACCTCATTAAATTATTTAAGAACACTTACTAGTCCTGTCACTGAATAAAATCATTATCTGCAGCCCTGATCTTTTTACTAAGTTCTTGCCTATTTCCATTCCACTAAACCAATACCACCTCAAACGTGGTGTATCTAAAAACAAACATTATCTTTTCCTAGCATTGCTTCACCTCCTCCTGTCTTCTCTATTTTCCTTTCTTTGGTCAGTCAGTCACTCAACAAACATTTATTGAGTCAGGCACTGCTAGAAACAAGGAGTGCAAAGATGAAGTAGGGTCTCTCTGCTGTCTGAGGAGCTTACATACTAGTGAGGCAAGACAAACCAGTGGCAATAAAGTGGAATAAATGTTATAATAAAGGTATGTACGTGGTCCTGTGAGAGCATGGAGGTGGCACGTCTGAATTAGACTAGCACTGTGAGGCTGAGGAAGTGAGAGAAGTTCGGTGTAGCTCGAGCGTAGAAAGTAAGGCGGCAAGCGCAGTGACAGGCGGCTGGGTTGTTGGGAAGGGTCAGATCATATGGGCTGTTTGGGACTTTCTATAAGTGCCTTGCAAAGGCACCGAACGGTTTAATCTGGGGTTCCCATGCTCAGATGGGTGTATGAGAAAGATCACTGGGTTTTGAGTGGGGAAAGACTAGAAAGGACGTGGTCATTCAGGAGAAAGAGGTCAGTGGTGTGGACTCCTCAGTGGTCGCTCCTAAACTCAACAAACAAATCAATAGGCCTTCAGCAGATTTCGGTTGAAGAAGTAGATGAGTGGATGCCACGAGGGTGCATGCTTACCTCCTGGTTATGTTCCAGCACCTCAGCCTGTTGAGTTCTGTGTGGGGCCCCTATTGCTTCCACGGAGGAGAGCCCACTGTGCGGAGGAAGCCTACTTCCCTTCCCGCGTGCAGCGCAGCAGCCGAGGCCCTGCCCTGCGGGGCCCTTGCGTGGAGGAGCGCTGTGTCGCAGCCATGAGTGGGGCCCGGGGGATCTGTAGGTTGTCTCTGACCTCGGATTGAGCCCACTGGAGCGACAGTGTGGAGGGGCCTCACATAGAGACAGAGCAGTCTTTTTTGGAAAGAGGTGTACGAACAAGTGATTGGGTTTAGAGAAACTTTCATATTTCATTTTGATTCTAAAACTGGTGCCCCAAAAGCCACAGATCTTATTTATCAAGTGGATGGAATAGTTTAAGGGGCCTAGACAAGCAGGGCAGATGGCTTTTTCTGTGGAGATTGAACTTGGAAGGAATGAGCTCCTTTCTGTGTGAGTTGTTACTGCAGGCAGCTGGGCCTTGCTCATCGGGGCTCCTCACAGAGTCACGAGGCAGAGAAACAGAAGAGCCGCACTGCTCAGAGGTCTGGGTGTTATCTGTCGCATGACTTCTGCGTGGTTTCTGCAAGAAGCTGTGCCAAGAAGGTTTAGTCCCAGGGCTCCGGGTTCCCAGGGGGTTTGATGTGTCAGCCCATTTCCTGCTTCGTGGTTTCCCTGCTGTTGCTGTCACCGATAAATAACCGTACGTTGTTTAATTCTTAAAGTGCTTGACAAGTATTAGGTGCTATTCCAAGGTCGCAGGAAAGCCTGGGGCTCTCTCCCGCTGAAACATTTACCTAATACAAAGCTGCGCACAGTGTGTATTCTTTGGGGTGCGTACTCTAATCCTTACGAGATTCTTGATTCTAAGTTTTGCTCCCTACCCACATATGGCAATTTCAAGAGGTGGCAAATGGCGTAGGTGAGATATTTCTGAGAAGAAGTTGACTTCTCTACTAAGTTTTAGACTTGGTTTATCAACTTAGATATGAAACTCAGGGTGGTATATCAAGCCAATCTCTAAGCCCAAAAATGCATGTGGTACTAAGTCCTTTTGTGTTAAAGCTCCCAATTTACATGTTTAGAAAGTGTTAGAGATAAAGTGTATTGCTACTCAAATGATTATCACTGTCTGCATAGTAGGGAAGGTGGTACTGATGGGTTCACCTTATTTTAGTCAAACTGGAAACGTAAGCATACAAAAAATAAATTCATTTGGGATCAAAATAAACCACCAAGTCAGAAGAGAGTTCTCAGCTTATTTTTAGGCCAGAGAGTTATACATTTAATGGTATTGTGATTTATAGTGGAAAACTGATTCATGGATTGCAAAAGAGCTTGAAACGGGACTCGGCCAACAGGGCAGCACTTTTAAGATCTAGAGACAGTGGTTTCTCTCCAAGTAGGAAAAAAAATCTAGTCTTTTGATATGACTCACAGAAATAATTCTTTTTTTAGAACACAGTGAAGCTTTGGGTTTTCTCCAAGCTCATAGCACGTGGACGTGTCAGTCATGTAGATGTGCTTCAGGACGACGCTGAGGAAACTTAGTGACAGAATCAAGAATGCTGTAGGCTCCTGGCTGTCTGCTTAAGAATACTTTGACGGGGAGTTAACATAGGAACTGTCTTCAGATCGTTCGCGCTTTTATGATGTTTTTGTTTACCCAGCATTTTGTTAAAGTGTAAGATCCTAGGAGTGGCATAGATAATTAGACATCAACTTTGTTAACGTTTACAAAAAAAGAAGACCAGGTTTTGTTTCTATTCATCTGCAGACTTTATCTGTAAGTCTAGATAGCAAGTATATTAGACTTTGCAGGCTACGTATGGTTTCTGTTGTGTATTCGTTTTTGTTTTTGTTGTTTTATTACTATTTAAAATGTAAAAGTCATTCTTAGCTCTCAGGCCATAAAAACAGGCCTCGGGCCAGATCTGGCCTGTGAGCTGTGGTTTGCTGACCCCTAGACTAGAGATCAAAGTGCAGGCCCCAATCTTAGAGCATGTGAATTCTGTTTGTAATACCTGGGTTTTTAAAATTTTTTTGTTTTTGTATTTATTTTGTTCATTTAAGAAATACTGAACCACAGCCAAATCATACCCTGAATGAATTCTTCCCAGTAGTGAAGAAAAAATGATTTGTGCACATAAAAATGTAATCATGTAAGATTTAAGCAACAATGTAATCATAGAAGATATACCGTGGCAAATAAAAACATCAAAACATGTTTAACATCTCTAGCCATTATTGAAGTGCAAATTAAAACCAGAATGAAGTATTACTACATACTTATTAGAATGTCTCAAATAGAAAATACTGATAATACTAAATGCTGGCCAGGATGTGGAGAGATTGGCTCTCTCCTGCATTGCTGTTGGGAAGGTAAAATGATGCAGCCACTCCACAATTCAGTCTGACGGTTTGTTAAAAAACTGAACATGAAACTACCATATGACTCAGCCATTACACTTCTAGGCATTTATCTTGGAGAAATGAAACTTAATATTCATATGAAAACCTGTACACAAATATTCATAGCTTTATTTGTAATAGCCAAGAACTAGAAATGACTAAAATTCCTTCTACCAATAAATGGTTACGCAAACTCTGGTATGTCCATACAGTGGAATAAACTATTCAGCAGTAAAAAGGAACAATCTGTTGATACACACAACTTGGATGGAACTTAAGGGCATCATGCTGAGTGAAAAAAGCCAGTCTCAAAATGTTGCATACTGTATGATTCCATTTATGTAACATTCTTGAAATGACAGAATTACAGAAATGGAAAACAGACAGGTGGTTGCCAAAGGCGAGGGAAGGAGAAGGAGGCTAAGACCATAAAGAGATGTCACAGGGACTTCCTTTGTGTTGACAGAACAGCTCTGTATCTTGATTATAGTGATAGTAATATGAATCTATACGTGTTTAAAATGTCATAAAAGTATACATAAAAATATACAAAAAAGTGAATGTGTGCAAAAAATGGGGAAGTCTGAGTAGGGTCTGTAGTCTTATTACTTGTACTGTGCTAACCAGTTACCTGGTTTTGATAATGCACTATGGTCATGTAAGATGTCGCCACTGGGAGAACTGGACAATGGGTACACAGGACCTCTTTGTACTATTTTTGCAACTTCTTGTGAGTCTTTATTTCAAAATAAGAAGTTAAAAAGAGAGAGAGAAAGAGTGTGCTGGAGGGAGGGAGGGGGAAGAAGATGGGGAGAGAAAGAAAGAAACAAGGAAGGCTTCCAGGCAAGAAGTGGAGTTAAAAAGGACTGATTTACCCTCCTACCTAAAACAATAACAGAACCACAAAAAAATTTTTTTTAAGGAAGATTAGTCCTGAGCTAACATCTTCCACCAATCCTCCTCTTTTTTGCTAAGGAAGACTGACCCTGAGCTAACAGCCATGCCCATCTTTCTCTACTTTATATGTGGGACGCCTGCCACAGCATGGCGTGCCAAGTGGTGCATAGGTCTGCGCCTGGGATCCAAATCGGTGAAGCCTGGGCCACTGAAGCGGAACATGTGAACTTAACCTCTGTGCCACTGGGCTGGCCCCCAAACCAAAATTTTTTAAACAGACAAAATACATGGAAAAAAAGTCTCCATGACACTAGATGTCAGGCAATGAAAGAAAGAGATCGCTGAGAGATGGGACATGAACAAAATGAGCCCCTGCTTGCTGCCTCGAGGGAGTCTCCAGGCTGTCGTACAGGGAAAGGGACTAAAGTGGAGCCCCGCAGACTCCTGAGTTGAGCAGACCGTGCTGAGAGTCCACTGGGATGGAGACAGCTGGAGCTCACAGGACAGAGACCAGAGGGAGCAGGACCTGTGCCCCGGCCCAGGAATGACGCCTGCACCACCTGCCAGACTGGAAAATGTCATCACTCACGGGGCATTGGGCAGAGCACTTAGGCGTTGGCAGCATTAGCCCTAAACTGAGCACTCCTCCAGAACTGCCCAGCAAGTCATAAAAGCAAGAGAGGAAAGGCGTAAACTGTTTCCAGGTAACGTAAGTGCACCCCTGAACAAAGCTCGAGATTTACAGGGATCCCAGAATATCTGGCACTCAGCAAAACGAAATTCACAGTGTCTGCCATCCAGTCAGAGATGGCAAGAAAACACGCCCCATAATGAAGAGAAGGTCAAGTGAAACCACCCAGAGCAGACACAGAGGTTAGAGTCAGCAGAGAAGGAAAATAAAATAGTTATTAATACTGTATTCCACATGTTGGAATAAAGTTAAGACGTGGAAGATATAAAAGAGACCAGAATGGAATTTCTAGAAGTGAACATTACAGTATCTGAGATGAAAAATGCAGTGGATGAGATTAGACATTTGAGGAAGAAAGAGTCTCTCCAAGAACATTTCTTGGGCAAAACTGATTAATTGTGTACTTGCTCAAAACCCAGAGTACTGTTGACTTTGTTAGTATTCTAAGTAACTGAGAGAAAATTACGGGCACCATTAAAACTGCTCAGAAATATTTTCTTCCAGTATGAATTTGTCGTCAAGATGTCTTAGTTCCGCTTCCGTCAAGAGAAGACTGTAAGCAGTTAAAGAATGTGACAACGTTAACATCTTTGGTTCTGGAATTGTGTGTGCTATTTGAGGTTTTGTTTGTGAAATAGAAGCGTTAAAAATAATCACATTTCAGAGAAATTTTTTTCCTGTTGTTTTGTAAGTGTATGATTTATTTTCCTAGTCAGCTGGTAAGCTTTTTGAGGGTATTAGCATCTCTTTTTACATCTTTTGGACCTCCCTAAAATACTTAACATAGTGCTTCCCATACTGGGTGGTCAGTAGTGTTTCTAACGTAAAAGGGGGACTCCTCCAGCTGTGAGGCACTGAAGTCTAGGCTGCTGCTAATAAGGCAGCACCAGAATTATCCTCCAAATGAACCGAATGTACACCAACAACGTCTGTGGGGGTGGGTGCAGGGGCACGGAGAAGCTCACCTTAGCCAAGAAGCTTCTTAAGCCTATTTTTAAACAAGATAATTAAATTCTGCAATTTACTTCTTAGAACCCTATCTGTGTTGACAGCCAGTGCTGATTGGATCAAGTGCATTTTGGGTTAAATAATGACTGGTGCTTCTTGACTAGGTATTTGGGGATAGATAGATAGAAAGAAAGAAAGAAGTTGGAGATTCATGTATTTAGGTAGATTTGGACAGGGCAGATTAGAGAACAGATGCATGTCCTGAGAAGCAGCTTTTGCTCCCACTTAATGGAAGCCACACTGCATAGGGATGGGGTAGTCACATCCCATTTCTTGGTCAAAGAAACATAGTCTGATTTTCATTGGCAAAGGGAATTAAATAAAGAACAAGGTTTCTGCAACCCCAAGTTCCAGTATGTATGGCAAGATTTTTGTGGGAAGGAATTTTTACACTTTACAAATTAGCATACAGTCTCCACAGATTAGGACCAAAGTATGAAGAGCTCTGACTAAATTACTTATTGGCAAGATGGAGAAAGCTATTTTCAAGCAACCTAAACGGAATTTTGTAAATTGTCTTAGTTTTGAGTATTGTCTCTACGCTAAAGTTGCTTGTGTGTTCATTTTGTGTGTAGCAGTAGCACTCTGCATGGCCTCTACTGCTGCAGAAAGGAATGAGAAGGTTGGCATCTCTCTCCATAAGCAAGGAACGCATGTTTGGGGAGGTGACAAATATATTCAGGAAATAGAAATATAAATAATATAAATTATTAAGGAAAAGATCTTGGATATTTGGGAAAACCTTACTATTGTTGATGCTTTGCCATTGATGCTAAGTGGTATTAAAAAATAATAAAGTTAGGGGCCAGCCCGGTGGCACAGCAGTTAAGTTGGCATGTTCTGCTTCTCGGTGGCCCGGGGTTCACCAGTTCGGATCCTGGGTGTGGACATGGCACTGCTTGGCAAAAGCCATGCTGTGGTAGGCGTCCCACGTATAAAGTAGAGGAAGATGGGCATGGATGTCAGCTCAGGGCCTGTCTTCCTCAGCAAAAAGAGGAGGATTGGCAGTAGTTAGCTCAAGGCTAATCTTCCTAAAAAAAAATAATAATAAAGTTAGAGCAACCAATTCTCCGAATCTCCAGTTTTTACTCTACGTTTATTTGAATTACTGGACAAATTCTTTATTACAGAAAAACTGCAGGTACCTAGAAATCCTGACCTGCCAAATGCAGCACCAGCACAAAAATAAAGAAAAGACTAAAATTGACAGTTGAACTCCTTAATGATGAAGAGTTACAGGAAAAAGAGAAGCTTCCAACACAGGGATTTACCGACAGGAATGAGAGAGACTTTAACGAGTTTAATGAGAAGCGGGGTTGTGATTATATTGAAAATATAGCGAGAGAAATAGAAGGAAAAACTCCAGAGGAAGCCATCGAATACTCAGCTGTGTTCTGGGAAAAGTGCTGTGAACTTTAAGACACAGACGGACAAGATTATGGCCCAGATTAAAGGGGAGAGGTAAGAATTCAGAGAAGAATTTGTATCAAAGAGGCGCTTGACACAAAGATTGGATGGCACAAGGCACCTTTCATCAGCTGGGAACACCACGTGGTACTAACAAAGGAGAAAACTATACTGAAGAAAAGGATCGTTTCCTGACTTTTGTGCTTGGCGTCAACAAAGAAAATGTATATGATGAAATGAGACAGTATATTCACAACTCTGCTGGGTTCAGAGTGGACTGATTTCTTCAATCCGGAATTGCAGTGGAACTCCAGAGGAGGCGTCACACCTCGATTACCGATTGAAAGAACAAACACAGCACTGGAAGAAGAGAGATGGGACGCGAACCAGGCGAGCTCTGTGATGGCCACAGCCTGTCACCATGAGAGTGTCCAGGCCGCCGGGCAGGGAGGATAACGCAGTCGGAGCCTGAGTGGAGGAGGCGGCTGAGCATCAGGGGACCAGGGCTGCTAGAGTTCACAGAGAGTCGAGAGAGGAGGGAGCTGCTCAGGGGCCGTGAGCACGCAGCACAGTGCTGATGAGCATGTGTGTGAGGAGGCTGCCTGACACATGCTACCACCTGAATGAGCACGCAGCACAGTGCTGATGAGCATGTGTGTGAGGAGGCTGCCTGACACATGCTACCATGTGAATGAAACTCAGAATAATTACTCTGAGGGGAAGAACCTGCATTTTTTAAAAAAGAGTACATACCACATGATTCCATTTATTAAAATTTTAGAAAATGCAACTAATCTGTAGTGACACAAAGTAGATGAGTGATTGCTGAGGGATGGGGGCTAGGGGCAGCCCAGAGGGGACGGAGGGAAGGATTACAGAGGGGCACAGGAAACTTTCAGGAGTGAGGGATGTGGTCATTATCTTGATTGAGGAGACGGCTTCACAGATGTTTACACATGTCAAAACTTACTGCATTGTGGGCCAGCCCTGGGGCCTAGTGGTTAAGTTCAGTGTGGTCTGCTTTGGCGGCCTGGGTTTGGTTCCTGGGTGTGGACCTACACCACTGGCTGGTGGCCATGCTGTGGCAGCAGCCCACATATAAAATAGAGGAAGATTTGCATCAGATGTTAGCTCAGTGACAATCTTGCTCAGCAAAAAAACAAAACAAAAACAAAAACTTACTATGCTGCATACTTCAAATATATGTAGTTTATTTTGTCAGTTGTACTTAAATAAAGATCTTTTTAAAACCTGCATGCAAAAAACAAATGCAAATAAAAACAGTAGCTTTCCTTTCAGAGTTGTTCGGAGAAAATGAAGGAGGGAACAAGCCCAGGGAACCTCTTTGCAACTCTTCCCAATTCATACCATCTTTCTTAAGATTTTTGCCATTCCAAAGTGTTTTTCTGTTTCAGAGATGTGTTGTTAGAATCTCTGGAGTGAAATTACTGCTCTTGTCAATCAAGATAAAACTTTGTGCAATTTCATGTTTCAGGGCTCATGAATCAAGCAAGCACACGTGAAAAATGGATCAAGGCTGATGCCCCGCAAGGCACTGTGAGTTTCAGAAGTCAGAGCTGGTTTCAGTCCCTGAAACTGCAGGACTAAGAATGGTTTGAGTTGTGTTTGTAATTTTGAACAATGACTAGCATATCAATGACTACCAAAATGCAGATACCACTGTTGATGTAGATGCTGAAAACAACCAAGTGGAATAAATACTAGTGAATTGTCTTGGGGGGAGCTTTCCAGAATTTGTACTTGGCTATTGTATTAGTTTTCCATTGCTCTGTAACAAATTACCACAAATGTATTGACTTACAGTAACAGCCAGTCATCAGCTCACAATTCTGCAGGTCAAGAGCCCAGCGTGGCTAGGTGCCCTGCTCACAGGATCCGCAGGCTGGACTCACGCTGTTGGCCGGGCTGAGTTCTCATCTGGGTGCTCAGGGGGCAAATCTACTTCCAAGCTCATTCATATTGTTGACAAACTGCAGTTTCTTGTGACTGTAGGACTGAGGTCTCCATTTTCTTGCTGGCTGTCATTTGGTGATCCTTCTAAGCTGCTAGAAGCCACCTGCATCCCTTCTCATGTGGCCCTCTCCATCTTCAAGCCAGCACTGATGCATTCAGTTCTTTTCAGGCTTTGAGTCTCTGACATCTTCTGCAACCAGCTGGAGAATACTCTGCTTTTAAAGGGCTCCCTGGACTAGGTGAGGCCTACGCGGGATAGCCTTTGTTCTGCCATTTCATGTAACATAATCATGGCAGTGATATCTCCTCATATGCACAGTTTCCACTCACAGTCGAGAGGAGCAGAGTGTACAAAGGCATGGGTGACGGGGGCAGGTATCTTAGCATTCTCTGTACCATAGTTCTCATGTAACATGTTCTCTACTTAGTACTTCTCGTGACATCAATGTAAACTTAAGCTGTGAATAAAACATCATAAATGCCATGCGGTTGCTGCTGATTTTTAATTTTTTTTGCATAATTTGTATGACATAACTTGTTGCAGGGGAAAACATTCAGCTATTTTATAGCCTGATGTGTGAAGATAGATTTTCACCTTTATAATGGTGTACTGTATAAAGTTACTTTATGAATTTTCTTTCTTTCAGACCTTACTTGTTTACTCCTGGAACGTTTAAATTATACAGCACTGAATAGACCTTTCTATTGGATTATATTTTTTATGATTAGGATAAATCAGTTCTTAAACATTTATTTCTAATAAATCTTTCCAAATATTGTGATTTATAACAGCCTCTCTCTGTTAGTATTTCATTTATTTAGAGTTCTCTGTTTATAACTTCTTATTTATAAAAAAAAGTCAGCTTTGTGGGATATCTCAAAGTCTCCTTTTAGTTCACCTTTCATGAAATCAAAATTTGTACCAGTTTGGACGATACTCACGTTAGCATGTTTTATGTGGTTGTGGGGTGTGTGTGTGTTAAATTATTAAGTAGAGGAAACTGTAAGGCAATGAGGCAATTTTTATAATCTTTTTTTACCCTCATGCAATTATATAAACATTTTCATGACTAAAAATGAACTTTATGAAATTAGTCAACAACTAACTGCCAGAAAGGTCATGAGCACAATAGCAGTCAGCTGTATTTAGAATTGTTAAAGGAATCATGTGTATGCATTTGAATCACATAGTCAAGTCCAAACAGAAAGGAAAAGCTGCCATATTTTGCTCTCTTAAACACAGACCCACGCACATCAAATGCTTAAGAGCTGAAGACCTGAGTGATATTTTGGATGCCTTGAGTGCTCTGCACTGAGAACTTGAGGATTTCGCCACCTGTTCACTCTACTTCCACCTGTTTACACTTCTTTTCATAGCCCACTTTTTCTAACACCTACCCCTTTTCTTTCATTTCTGTAGCTATAAAATTTGTCTCCCCATAATGAACAAATGTGTCTCCCATTCTTGTTTAAAAGAGGATCTTCCTCAAAGAGTTTTGGAGCAAGCTCTGATGGCTGACCCCCTGCTTGGTCTCTGGAGAGCATAACAGGGAGCGTTCCTCCTCACCCTGGTCCTCCTCATGCGAGTATCATTCCTTTGGAAAGCAGTTGCCTCTGTTAAAGGTCTCTCCAGTTGTGTGTTTGAGACACTGAGGGGTCAGACACTTAGAGGTCAGAAGCCAGCTTTTATGCAGCTGCCAGAAATCTCCACATTTAGTTAAAAATAATCACCCCCTTGGAACAGTCTTTTTTTTGTGTGCTGAGGAAGATACACCCTGAGCTAACGTCTGTTACCAATCTTCCTCTTTTTTTGCTTGAGGAAGATTTCCCCTTAGCTAACACCTGGGCCAGTCTTCCTCTATTTTGTATGTGGGATGCCGCCACAGCATGGCTGCCGACGAGTGGTGTAGGTCCATGGCCAGGAACTGAACCTGGGCCACTGAAGTAGAGCGCACTGAACTTAACCACTACACCATGGGGCCAGCCCCTTGCAACAGTCATTTCAAGTCTCTTAGCTCAGGTCTTAAAACTTCCTACTCAGCTGATTTCCCCGGCTGCCCACTTCCAGGAACCATTTCACAGCCAAGTGATACTGCTTTGTTTCAAAAACTTTCAGGGCCCACCCGGTGGCGCAGCGGTTAAGTGCACACGTTCCATCTGCTTTGGCAGCCTGGGGTTCGCCGGTTTGGATCCTGGGTGTGGACATGGCACCACTTGTCAAGCCATGCTGTGGTAGGCGTCCCATGTATAAAGTAGAGGAAGATGGGTGCAGATGTTAGCTCAGGGCCAGTCTTCCTCAGCAAAAAGAGGATTGGCAGCAGTTAGCTCAGAGCTAATCTTCCTCAAAAAAAAAAAATCTAAGATGTTGCAGGGACATCCTTTCTATTCACAAATAGTCCCATCTGTTTAATTTGTCCTTGGCTTAAGTCAAAGATGAGTCCAGGGTTAATTGGCATTTAGTTCTCTCTCGTTGTTAAATGTCTGGAAATCACAGGAAAGCCTTGTTTCCTTTAAAAATGTATGTCTATGTCCTTTATAATAAAGCCTCACAGACCCTTAGGATCAGTTCCCTGGCTCAGACTCAGACTCTGACTTATGTGGCCATCTCCGCTGCTTTTCTTTTCTAAAGAGAAGCTTCTAAACTCTGTCAAAAACATCACATGTCCCAGGGTTGTATCATATAATTGTAACATTAGGTTTGATAATCTCATCAAAACTATTGGTTTAGGGGCCGGCCAGGTGGCACAGCAGTTAAGTGCACACGTTCCGTCCGCTTTGGCAGCCCGGGGTTTGCTGGTTCGGATCCCGGGTGTGGACATGGCACTGCTTGGCACGCCATGCTGTGGTAGGCGTCCCACATATAAAGTAGAGGAAGATGGGCACGGATGTTAGCTCAGGGCCAGTCTTCCTCAGCAAAAAGAGGAGGACTGGCAGCAGATAGCTCAGGGCTAATCTTCCTCAAAAAGAAAAAAAAAAACTATTGGTTTGATTATGGTAAATTGAAGTGGGAAACTTACAGATAGCAATGCTTGATTTGGCTTTTTAATCATGATTACTAGAAGAACTAATGTGTTTGGTGACATTTGCAGCTGGAATAGGAATTGGGAGAGGATTTGCTGCTTGTTTACACCGATGAGATCCCGCTAGTAAAAATATTTGCATCAAGTGAAGTGGCCAAGTTCTAGGTTTTTTTCTTCTTCCCCTTAAGGCTGAAGGTCATACTGCTTCCTCGTCACTGCTGTACACTGACTGTTTCAGAATCGATTCTGAATCTTCCTCAAGTGATCCTATACGACGTTGCTCTGTAAGAGGATTGCCTTCCCAGTCATAGCCAAACCAGCTTGGAGGGTCACCGGGGCTGTATTCCTGCTGCTGAACTTTCTGTGACATTCTGCTAGCTGCCTCCCTGTAAGAACAGTGATCAGCATTAGCTAGTTGCCCAAGTCATCACTAGTGCAACATTTTCAAACTAGATCAAATTTGGCGTTAAAGAACTCACGGTCACAGGTTGAAGTCACTTCACGGCTTTCTCGCGTTGCTGAGGGGGAAGGGTGGGTCATATGCTAACAATCAGGATCCCAAAGCTGGAGCAGCTCAGTAGCTCTGCTGCAGCCGGTTCAGAGACTCACAGACACTGAATGGATAGGGAAACTAGGCATCTTCACGGAGTGGTGGCACTGAGGGCGCTCTGTAGTGCTCTCGAGTGAGAAATACCGCTGTCCGGTGTTTCCAGTTTCTTTGATGAGGGAATGCCTGAACCAGCCAAGCTGTGCAGGCTGGCTGTGCACCGGAACAGCAGCTCTTAGCCCAGAGTCCGCAGACGGCTGTGGGATACATGGATGAACTTCAGGGAGGTCCGTGAACTCCCTGAAAATTCGTGCGGTTTTGTATCTAATAGACATTTTTCTGAGGAGAGGATTTCTGACTTTGAGCAAATTCTCAAATGTGTCTGTGACCAAAATGATTGAAAATACTGTTACTGTCTTTCTTAGGAAGAAGTAAGAAAGGAAACAAAGGAGGCATCTAAAAGTTGTTCCAGACCCCAATTCCAACATGGCTGTGTGTGTGTTGAGGGTCGGGGGGTTCCTCCACATCACTTGGCACTTCTTGGATACCAGCTGGGGGTCCTACAATTCAACTCAATTCTGACACTCTCTACCCAGAGAGAGCATCAGATTCCACAGGTAAAGGGCTCAGTCCCACAAGACCGCCCTCCACTTCAGATACCAATCGCAAGTCCAGGTTGTCACTTGGGTTTCTGACCGATCAGCTATAGATCGGAGGTTCCAACACCCCTCTGCATGGGTTCGATTAATTTGCTAGAGCTCCTCACAGAACTCAGAGAAACACTTTACTTACTGGATCCACCAGTTTACTATACAAGGATGTAAGTCTGGGACAGCCAGGTGGAAGAGATCTATGGGGAAAGGGCGTGGAGCTTCCATGCCCTCTCCAGGTGGCCACTCTTCCCCGTTCTCCATGCATTCATCAACCTGCAAACTCCCCACACCCTGTCCTTTGTGTTTTTATGGAGACTTCATTACCTAGGTATGGTTGATTAAATCATTGGCCACTGGTGACTGATTCAACCTCCAGCCCCACTCCCCCAGACTGGAGAGGAGCAAAGGGTCAGTTCTCAGAGCCCCCTCCCCCAGTCTCAAATGCCAGCTTCCTCCAGTCCAGTGTCTCCAGGGCCTGTCTTAGGCCTACATGCTTTCACAGCCGGGGGCTCCTGGGGAAAAACTGAAAATCTGAATCTGTCCTGGGCAAATCTGGGATTATTTTAGAATTTGTATGCTAGTGTGGACTGTTCCCCAGTCTACTTCCTCTCTACCTTTTACAAAATCCTTAGCCGTGAACCAGCTGTCCTCACCACCTTACTAGGCCCTGTGACCTCCTCACATGGACTGACTCCTGAGAGTCAGGACCTGGCCAAGAGAACAGACCAGCATGGCGACTGCCGGCAAGTTCCTCAGTTCTTTTTCACGGCATGCTTTGTAACTGTGTGTTTTCACAAATGCACTTTTGAAAAGTTTCAGGAAACTTGAAACTGTAGAACCTGCTGCTGCTGGAAGCAACACACTCTCTCTCCCTTTGTTTTTAATAGCTTGGTGCTATATTATGGACATAATGGGAGCTAGGAAATAATGGAGAATGTATACTTTGGAATCACTGTGTGTTCTAAGTTCCTTACAGTACATATGAGATCCACTCCGGCTTGGCCTAAGGGATTCCAAGACCTTACCTTGGATGATTGGGGGATGGGACCAGTCTGCTGCCATGCTCAGTCATCATTACTCATTTAACCTGGTCAGAGAGGTCTCTCTGGATCAGTAGAGAACAGTGATTTTCAAACATGATATGCCACAAGCAGTTGCGAAGTATCACATTAGATGGTTAATAATAATGACATACTGAAATTGTAAGGATTTTTATTTTTTATAAACTAAAGGGGATTCAAGGTTATCCTTTTAATAACGTTTCTTGCCCTCACTCACATTTCCTTCCAGTTTCTTGAGTGGGCAAAAAAAAAGGGGGAGTGTTGGAACCAACCCCAAAGCCTGCTTGTCATCAGCAGCCTCGCTTATTTACGCATCAGCAAGTAAGTTGGGCACAACAGAGCCCATGTCTCCCCTTATTGATCAAACTCTTTAAATGGTAAAGCTTCCAAAAAGCTTGAGAATCACTAATCTAAAGGCAAAAGAGCAGCATAGTAATGACTAGGACCTAGTCACAAAGTGTGGCTCTGCCCTTTATGTCTATGATCTTGGGCATGTTATTTAACCTGTTTAAACCCATTTCCTTATTCATTTTTATGGTAATAGGGTATTTTCGAGGATTAGATGAGATAAACATAAAATAGGATTTAGCACAGTACGTGGCAAATAATAATTGTTAAATAATATTTGTTCATGCTAATAATAAAAGTCAGTGGCTCCAGATAACAAAAGCCTTTCCACAAAGACCTTTCCGTGGTCTCGTTTCTCCTCTCCCTCAGAGCTGGAGAGGAGAAATCGAATAAGAGTTGTATTTCCTAGAAACAGATCTCTCAGGGGGCCTGGGCAGTAGTTTCTGCTGCCAGGATCTGCTAAAGGAGGCCTTCAAGGAATCTCTCTACGGCTCTTTGGGGCTCTAAAGCCCACCAAGACTTTCTCTGCTGATCTCTCTAGAGTCGGAAGTTTGGGTTCCAGACACACAAAGGTTGGCAAAGTCCCGTTACTCTTTGCTAATTATAGACTTAGTGGCTCTTCGGCCTCTCTGTGGTTCGGACCCTCCGGGCTTGTGGAGACCATTGTTTGAGTCTTTCTCCCTCTGTCCCCCTATGCTTTTCTTCTCCTTGCCTTTGTTGCTGTCCCCACAGAGGGCCTAAGTTGCAAGGCTGTCTGTTCACAGCTGCTTCAAATACAGACAGCTAGATTTTCTTGTCACGTTTGTGGTCATAGCTGTTACTTATTCCTCCTTGAATTAAAGAGCCTGTATTGTGCCTCCACATGGAGCTTCTGGAATCACTTCCTGGGATCCCTTCAGGCTCTGGGCTTGCTAGAATGACAGCATATCTCATGCTGGAAGCTCTCCTACAAAAAAGCTACAGCCAATTTGCTCATTGACGAAAAGTTTGCTACTCTCCTGGTTCAGAAAGGGTGGGCTGAACAGACCTCTTTGATTTGCAAAGCTGGTGCCGTATTTTCAGATTCCGTTGACTATGGGGGAATTTGTACATAGAACAGTTTCTTCTGAGGGCTATAATTTGGATTTTAAGGGCTGCATCATACAATGTTTTCATGTTCGAATGGAATCAGATGTGAGGGAGTCTATCGCTTTGTGATTCAAACTCATTGAACCACTTCCCAAGGAATAAAAATCTCCTCTATCCCAACTACCCAATGTTGCATTTCACCCAGACAGAACAAAGTCCCTGCAGTTGAGGGAGCCACATTGGCTCTGGGAAGAGCAAACAACTGGGCTTTTTTACAGTGGACGTGGGTAAGAGCTTAGACCTCATCATGATCCTGAGTCTTGAAGGGTCCACACACTCTGTGCAGCATTTCCAATTCCACTCAAGGATCTAAGTGGAGAAGGAAGCTGCTTACGGCCCCTAGAGCTGACCCCAGACGGTTGCATGTGATCAGGCCTTATCACTTCTCTAATCAAAGTTTTGAGGCCCAGGTGTCTGGGGAGCTCCTGGACTGACAAACAGCAGCCTCTCCCAGATGTCGAATGTCAAGACAGATGCTCCTGGAGCCTCACTAGTCCAAACGCTGGGACTCTCCAAGCGACCCTGCTGCAAGAACTGCCCTCTCCATTGCTAGACAGAGGGAGAAGCAGAGGATTGCAGGCCTCTTTCCTGCCGGAGCTTAGCGGGAATAGAGCCATAAGGGAGCTGGTTTGGCCTCTTTAGACAATGAGATGGGCAGACAAGCCAGCTCCCCTCTAGGTGTTAGGGCCACGTCTGTGTCTGCCCCTTGCTGATAGGGACAGCCAGGCTTGGTGGTAGAAAACAAAATAGGCCTTTTGGCTGTCCTGGAATTTTCCACAGATTCAGCTGGTTAGCTAGATTTTACATTAAGTTTTGGGGGCCAAGCCCAGCTAGTAGTAAAATCTTACTTTCCCTTGTTTTGTTTTCTTGGCGTATTTTTAATCTAGTGACCTTGCAAGAGGAGTGAGTAGTGAAAGGTAGGATTTGGGTATTATTAGATATCTTGGGTCTTCTTGACCAAACACCGCATTTATCACTTTTTAACATCCCATACCATGATTAGGTTCCCAGTTCTGGTTGCCAGAAAGTCGCTATTCATTCTACTTATAATCTCACTTATTAGAAGTTCAATATATTACCTCCAAAAAATAGTGATTGGCAAAATACAATCAAAAGATTAGAAGCTAAACTCCTTCATATAATATGTTATTCATTCTCTGTTGTCTTGCCCAAAGTTGGCTGTTCAATGATATGACAAGGTCAGCAGGGACTCCTAGGGCCTCATTTCATGGTGTCCTCTTTAAATGAAGTTAACGTCCGTAACAGTCAGCTCCACACCCATCAGGAAGGGTGGAGTCTCCATCCTCTTCCAAACTGTTCAACGCCCTGCCCCCTTTTTCTGACCCGGCTTCAGCTGGCTGTCCACCTCCGGGCAGGCGTGGGCCCAGAGAGTGCCTATTTTACAAGTAATAGTTGTTATTTTTGCTTTGTTTTTCATTTCATTTTAACATACACAGCCTTAGATCAGAAACCATTCTGTTCCTTAGGCCTCAAGTGACTAGATCTCATCGCTCAGCTGATGCCAGGGCTGCTTAATTCAGAAAATTCCTCTGTGAACTCTACATGCTTGGAACACATTATGCACTTTGCACTTTGATAATATTAATTCTTAGTAGTCATTTTTCCAGCCCGCGGAAAAGACCCTGACCTTAAGGGACTGGTCAAGAATTCTCATTTTGAACATTCCAAATTTACTTCATCGGGTCAGTTAAAATACTTGCACATTTTTATTCTCAGTCAATAGGAGAAAAACTGAACAATGGAGCAGATAACTGCTTTCTACTTAAAAACTCACAGAGTGGACACCAGAGACCTTGTACCTTTATAGACTGCTTATTTACCCAACTGTTATTTCATTGGAAACATTTTGCAAATTGAGGGAGCAGGCATTTGGCCTGTAGCAGTCGAGTCAGAATACCTTACTCTGAGCTCTGGATCCTCTAGGAAATCCCTAGTTAGATGAATAACAACTATCAAGCAAATAGCTTTGGGAGAAATGGGGCTTAGGGTAACCGTTAGTAATTTATACTTAATTGTGAGCTGGTTTAATCCATTTTCTCAACTTCTAGGGCAGATGAACTGAATGGGAACATTTTGAGAGATGAGCAGAGGAAGAGCTAGCGATAACTGTGCAAAGAGCAGAGTTACGGCTTCGGACATCTGTGTCTTCAAGGAAGGGAAAGTGCTTAAAGTAGAAGGCTGCTACTGGTAAAGGATATGAAGCTGCAGAGGCCATTGAAGAGGGCTTCCCTTGGTTCAGTTCTAAATGTTGGCTTCAATTAGGCAAAAAATAAAATGAAACTTCCTAACTCTGAAAGCCACTGCGTGTTACGAATGCCACAGTCACAAATTCTAGTTATCCCAGAAAGTAGTTCTCAAAGCTTTTCATATTCAGGTACATACTTACTTGGAAATAAGTCTGCAGTAATTCATCTTAAGGATCCGGAGTTGTTTGCAGCCTAACTGAAGGTGTTTGAGCATTTGGTCAGTAAGCAGGACACAACCAGAAATATCCAAAATGTGCAGGTAACGGCATTTTGCCGATAACATCTCCATCGCCGAGTCAGTAATCTGAACACACAGCCAAAGTAAGAACTGATTATTCCCACGGAGTCCACCCCCGGGAAGGAGAGTGTACGGGTCCGTTTGGGCTGCTATGACAAGATGCCATCGACTGGGTGGTCTAAAGAACAGACATTTATTTCTCACTGTTCTGGAGACTGAGAAGTCTAAGGTCAAGGCGCCCACGGGTTCAGTTTCGGTGAGGGTCCTCTTCCTGGTTTGCAGATGGCTACCTTCTTGCTGTATCCCCACGTGGAAGAGAGACCGCTCTAGTTTCTTCCTATTCTTGTTAGAGCACTAATTCCATCATGGGGGCTCCACACTCATGACCTCATCTAAACCTAATTACCTCCCCAAACCCTCGCCTCCTAATACTGTCACACTTGGGGGGAACATTTTAACATATGAATTTGGGGGTGGGACACAAACATTCAGTCTATGACAAACAGAATCAGGACTCTTGCAGATTCCCTTTAACCAACTCATCATGTGACACCAATAGACTTTGTGATCTTGCTGTTATTTTCATCTTAGAGTTCTCTGGTTTGAATGGGAAACGTCATCAAAATTCCCTTAGTAACACCTGTCACGGCAATATGAGAAACTTATGAAATGTTGTAACACTGGGATTTGGCTTTACTTGAAATCCACTCTAAGGCATCATCAATTTGGAAACATAGGTCTGATAACATCCACGTGTTACGAAATTATCAAATATATGTATATCCCCTCAAGAACTGCAGACGGGGTCAGATCGCTATGAGAAGGGATGTGGACATCTCTGATGGCTTGTGTGTGGAGTAACATGGTCCTGGAAAGGGACAAGTGGGTGAGACAGACGTTCGTGGGCAGGGAGAGAGAGAAGAGCAGAAGCCACAGAGACTACATGAATCTCAGGCCCAGAAATTCTGCTGAGGGTTCTCACAGCTTGGGACTTTGAACAGATGTTCTGTGGAGGTAATTCAACTCCACTTCTTAGATTATTTCACTTCCTCAAGGTCTAGCTTTTGAATTTATGGCTGAACTGAGGCCTGCTGCAGAATCAACTAGAACACTCTCCCCAAAGAAATTTTTTTTTCCAACTGGATTTAATTTATTTTAAATGTTTGAGCAGTCTAAAAAACATGCCTTGAAACTTGGCTCTTGTTTTTAACATAAAGTTGAGAGAATTGTGCAGAAAAACCCTTCCATTTGAAATGCACACTTTTTAAGTTTGGAAAAATAGATGTTGTCATTGTCTAAGTATGCCGTGTTTCCAGAACATGCTCAGGACCAAGGTTTAACACTGCAACTGATTCTCACAAAAAATGCCTTCAGACATTCCTGCCATCCTAGTTGGGTCTCTGAAGATCTAATGTCATTGGGGGGAGAAAACAAAGCCCTCAGAACTGTAGAGAAAGGGAAAGACAAGGAGGTGAGGGAAAAGTCCAGGAGAGGTGGAGCTCAGAGTGCTGGGTTTTACTGATACTGCAGGAGCTGAAAAGGGACTCGACCTTCCCTGTAAATCAGAAGCTCAAGATGCTCAGTGAGTGAGGTGATGTTGTAGGGACTTATGGCGGCTAGGAACTGGAGGTGGAGATGACTGACTACATTCTTAACTCCCAGATAAAGGTCTTGATCTCTGTCCTATGGAGCAGAGGTTATGTTATTCCCATTTTAGTGCTGGGTAGCATGAGGTCATGACGTTGGCCGTAAGCTGGTTGCAGGGAAGAGCTGGTCTTCCAGGAGATGGGTAAGGTGACCATTGAAGATTGACCATGAGGCTTTGGGACACCTAGCCTAGAATGATAAGCCAGACCCTACTGTGTGTTATGGCTCCTCAAAAGCAGTGTAGGTGGAATATGTTAGACTGGACCACAGCTTTATAATTTCTGGGTGAGGAGTATTCAGATTTGGCCCAAATTATGGCCACAACATCCTCTGAATCAGATGATTCAGATTCATTTGACCCACACAGATAGTAAAGCTAAACCCTTCTTCTCCCTTACATTGAGGTTCTGGAATAATCTACTTCCCTCCTTCTCCCCCTAGATTTTCCATGTAGAGTGACTCATTTCTTAATATCTTATTTATGTAACATCCGCCTCAGATTCTAGGCTGCAAGACACTATCCACTGCACAGTTTATAGAAGGAGTTCCCTCAGTTTCTCCTTACCCAAAACAAAACAAAAAATGAAAAAAACACCCTCTGCTCCCAATTGCTGTTCTCACTGGAGCTTTCCTTTTCTCATTCTCCTACTTTCCTCCCTCATTAGTAGAGGCACTAAAAAGCCCAGGGTCCATCTGTGCCGGCCTTACAGCTGGGGCAGTTCCCAGGGAGCCGTGTGTTGCCCACGTGTCCTCACGTCCATGTGCAGTGAAAGCGGGACCCCTGCCAGTGTGACCGCTCAAGCTGCAGAGGCTCCATGGTCAGTGGTGCTCGTGTGCTGAGTTCCTTGACCCAGCTTGCCTCCAGAACCAGCTGATGCTGACCAGAAAGACATCTGTTCTCCCTAAATCTAAACAAGTACGTTACTAAACAGAAAGAACTTTACTGTGAACTTTCTAGCTTAATTTCATCACGATTTACCACATCTCCCCCGACCACCTCCTGCTCCCCACTGCGGCACAGTTAACTGTGGAGGAGTCAGGAGTCCAGCATCACTCTCTTAATCCACTAACCGCACAGACCATCCCCTTTAGAGACTTTGCTCTTATGCCTGGTAATCCTTGACTGTCTGCTCATGATTGATAGTGGAGGGACAACAACTGACGGGACAGTCTGCGCGCAGGATGTGGGCCTTCTCTACTTTAAGCTTCGGTGGTGGAGATGGGTTATTTGTTGGGAAACCCCCAGATGTCAGTATTTTTCAGTCTTTTATCTTGGGCTAGTCAGAGTCCCCAGAAAAGAAGCTTCAAATCCCCTGCCTGGAGGGAAAGACCTGGCAGCCGAATTCAGGATGCTGTGTTGGAAAACCTGAGTGTCTCCGCCTTCAGCAGTCAGTCACTTAATTCCTGTTTTCACTTTTGAACCCAAGCCCTCAGTTACACTGTGTCGTGTCTCCCAGCCCCAACAACCTCTGTCTGACTATCTGTAGAGCACACAGTAGAGCAATTACGTCCCCCAGAGGACATTCAGCCATACCTGGAGACATTTTTTTATTGTCATGACTGGAAGTTTGGGCGCTTGGGTGCTACTGACATACCGTGAGTAGAGGGCAAGGACGTTATTAGACATCCTCCAGTGCATAGAACCACCCCGTACTACAAAGTAGTATCTAGTCCAAAATATCAAGAATGCCGAGGTTCAGAAATCTGGCTGTAGGAAGTAAATTTCCGATCTTCTGATGAGGGTGGGGAAGGGCAGTCGCCCGGAGACGTGGAGTAGGGGAGACCTAGGGATCTATCTGTTTCTCGAGAACTTTTAACCAGTCTTCTTTATTTTAGCCATCCTCTTAACTTAGTTCCAGAGGTATGCAGTGCGGCCGAGTTTGATGATTATGGTGTAAATCAAATTTTTTTTTTCCAGCTTTCTCTACTGTTGGCTTGGGATTCAAAGCTGTCTCTGGTCTGCTAAGTTAGTCCATCTATTTTCAAGTTTCCAAAATTTTGTTGCTCTTGTCTCCTCTCCTGTTTTCCCTATAAATATGGGCCCTTTCCCTTCTTCTGCACTTTTGGTAGGGTTTCAATAGGGAACAAAAGTATATGTGTACATTCCATCTGTCATATTAATCCAGAGCCAGGATTGTGTCTTTCTTGACATGGAGATATGTTCATAATATATTAAGAGAAAAGAAAGTAAGTTACAATGTACTTTTGAAAATATGATTCTATTCTTAAAAAAAAAGATAAAACACAAATCTTCTATAACTATTTCTAATGTCTTTGTACATAGAAAAATTCTAGAAGAATGAGTATAAAATGCCAACAATGGTTATGTGTGGATGGTGATATGACAATGGATTTTTATTTTCTCCTTTATGATTTTATATGCAGCCCAAAGATTTTGCCATCAGATGTCAAGAAAAATTACCAAACACTTGAAAATAAAACAAAAGATGATTGTATGTCCTTTCAGTGCCATACTGGAAGATAGTTTAACAGGCCAACCTGAGGAATTCTAAACAGAAGTATGCCTTTGTTTGACATCTATTTACTATTGATTAAGGCCCAAACTCAGTGAAATTACATGCTATAATTTGATATATGTTTGTCCAGGAGAGATGCAAATTATTTCTGTCTGGTAGAAACTATAACTCCAAGGTTACAGATTTATTACCTTATAGAACATTAACCAATTTTAGATCTAACTTAACAATCACATTCCCACATTCTTTCTTCAGTTCCTATAAATACTTGGCTCCATCAAATGCTTTACAAACTGGCTTTACCATTTTGCTGGTTTTCTCATTGTTGAGTTAAATAAATCTTTAACATATTTTTATATTTGTATGAGAATTGTTTTTAACTTTTTGAAAATTCTCCCTTGACACAAATGAAATCATAAAGCTATTTCCAATTTGGGGAAAGAAAAAAAAAAAAAAAGCTAATGAATACTTCAGACATGGCAAGGAAAACAAGTTCTATCGTGAATTCAACCCTTGATGCTACCCTGCCCGGGTTCTTTGGCAGCGCTTCGACTTGACATGTCTGAGCTCTGACGCCTGCACGTACCTTTGGACAACCAGCAACGCTGAGAGATGTGATGCAAATGCAATAAATGGCCAGGACTTTAATAATGTCATCTGACAGCTGGGGGCAATAAGAGACATCCAAGTGTTCCAAGAGTAGTGAGCCTTTGCAGAACACCTGCAAGAAATTCCAAAGGCAAAGATTTTTCCTTTTCTTTTCCTTAATCTTTATTCAAATGTTATGTACATCTCTAGATGTACCGTTTCCATCTTACCCATAGCAGTTTGTTTAGTATGCATTTTAGTCCCTGAAATAATATAGATGTGTTACATCATGTTGCAAAAAAAAAAAAAAGCAGCCACTACATCCAAAATTTCTTTACAACAGAAGATATTCATGCAGCAGCTTAACAGCTTAGTAATATTCACATTCCTCCCAACAGGATTTGGTTTTTCCTGAAGTTAGCACTAATGAAATTCAACCCATATGCTTAGTCATTGTTAAAGTTACATTCAGCCAAGTGAGCGGAGGAGAAGAAATATGGAGGTGAGAATCAGAAGGCAAACCCTCTGGGATTGACAGGGTAATGTAATGGAAACAGTCTTTGGAATCAGGCAACCTGAGTTTTAATTTCCACCACTTATTAACTCTGAAACCTTAGCAAGTCACTTAATCTTTCTGAGCCTCAGTTTTCTTTTCTTTAAATTAGGGACAGTAATAGCTACCCTCTAAGCTTGTTCTGAAATGCCAAAATGTTCATCTGAAATCTCTAGGGCTCGAAAAGGCCTGGAAATTCTTTCCTTTGTCTCGTACTTCTTGGTTTTCATTGTCACTTTTTCATTCTCAGCTGTTATACAAGAACAAAATGATCAACAGAAATAAACCTAACAGTAATTGTAAAAATATCTTAATAAATCAAGGCGAGTGGAAATTGGAAACCATGAGCAGTTCAAGATAACACTAATGCTGTCCTTAGAAGAAAGGTCCCTCCCCCAAATTGTGAGAATTACAACCACCAGCATGTCCTCAATCCCTCTGGAGGTTTTGCCTCACTGTGAAGCACCTCAAATTCTTAGAGCCCTCAGTAAGTGATAGTTTGCCATTCATTTCAGATGTAGATATTAGATTTTAGCAGCCCTAGTGGGCTACCAGGAGAGCACTCTTTATTTATATGTAAAAACGGTGTCCATCAGACCACCTGTCATTTTCCTCTCAGAACTGAGGGAAGGACCTGGGCCGTAGGAGCAGTTCATGGCCATCAGGATGGCTCCAGAGGTAAAAACACCAGTGGGCTTCCCTCCCACTGAGTACACCACTGTCCTCTCATTTTAGCCCTAAGGAAGACTAGAAAGAACTAGTCAGTCAACTATTTTCTTTAATAAGTTAACAGAAGAGAGAAATTTCCTGAAGAGGCAGTTTAGCACAGCAGAGGAGACCAGGACTGTGGCATCCGACAGCGTGGGCTTATAAGCCGGGCCCCGCCGCCATGTGGGTTGCTGGAATTCTCTGAGCCGCAGTGTCTCCTTGGGTAAAATGGGAATGATAACACCCATATCAAAGGATAGTTGATTATATGAAATTATATGTACACCTGAAATGGCTCCTATCACAAAGTAGATTCTCTACCTAGCTAGCTACAAAATTTTATATACAGGGTTCTTTGAGAGGCAGGATAGCATATTGGTTAGTGCTTGGGACACAGTAAGTACTTGATAAATGTTAACTATTACTGGGATTTGCATATGACACCAATAATAATAAAGACGCACGTTTGCATTGTACTTGGAGGAAAACTAAAAGATATTGGTTATTTTTATTTAACCCTAAATCACAGCAACCAGCAGCGATTCGTCTGGCCTCTGGCCTCATGCTGAACTGGTCCTTTTCAACTGATTCAGCACTGATAGTACTTGACTCCTTCAGGTCTAATGGCTAACTTTGTATCGAGATCTGTCTTCTCTAGCAACTAAGTGATGTCAAAAATTGGGAGGGGCGGCTTGTCAGGAGACAGTGAGGTTCCTGTCGTTGGAGATAGTCAAGCATAGAGGGCACACCCAGTGTGGTGCAGAAGGAATCGAGCTTTGAAGGATTGGAATGAGTGATCTTGAATCTCAGCTCAGAGATTCAGCAAGTTTTTTAATGAGAATGCGGTAAGTCTCTCAGAGGTACCGTCTGGGACTCTGTTGGCTTTTCTTACCCCTTTCACAAGCATTGTATTCAAAATACAGTAGGTTCTCGGTGAATACTAGCTGGTCAATTGATCCTTTCTAAATGTCTTGAATTCTTTTTTAATCACACAAGAATTCTTAACATTGCGAGGAGTAGGATAACATTGTTTCCTACTTACAGAATGAATAGGATTCAAGGAACCAGAGAAAATTTAAAGCAAGAATGAATATTTAAACTCTAAGGATAAATTATTAAAAGATGAAACAAGCTTTAAAGTGGGACTCCAGGCTCTTAGTGTCTGAAAACCCTTTTCAGCAGCATCTGTCAACGTCTCGGGCTGCTGGAATGAGTTCTGCTTTAAGCCTTTTTTAAAAACTCTAATAGTCTTTGAAGTTAAACTTTCTGAGAGGTTTTAAATTAAAGAATAACTTATAAAAGTGATTAGAAGGTCTATGATACATTCATGGTAGCATTCTCACCCATGGAAAATCTGAGGCACAAAGATTGGTCCAAGGCTTTATGCTTGGCATAAATCAGTGTGGATCCAAGAAATAAGCCAGAACTTTCCCTCTTTTAGAATTCATATTTTCCTTTGGAGACATATAAGTCATACTAAATACTTAAGTCTGCAGGCATGTCTCAACATAATCACTCATGAAATTTCATTTCTGCCCTGCAGATAAGATTATTCTATGCTTGAAGAAAATTTACAAATCTCTCAGCGAGTTGAATCATTTCTTCTCTGTGTCTTCTGAGCTGAGTCACGGTATGGGGGCTTAATGACTACATTCCTCAACTGGGTATGTAGAGGAGATTGAACTTCTCACGTTTACCGGCTGTCACAATAATGCGCTGCAACAGGTGACAGCTCCCAGCCTTAGAAAAGCTCACCTCACGGTGCATCCTCATGGCACCATCTCTTCACCATTTGCTTCGTTAGGTTGCGATTCATTCTACCACAAAGTTTTGTGGGGTTTTTTTTTCTTCCTATTGATAATTCTGGAAAAATCGTATGCTGTCAAGAACCATTTTCTGTAAGGACGATTATTTTTGGCTGCCTCAGAGGCTGAAATACAACTTCCACAATTTTAAGTTATAAACTGAATTCAAAACTGCCGTTTCTCGGGCCTCGTATATTCCATGCGGTGTAGAGCTACATTCCATCAAAGACAGCCTTGTTCCCAGTAGGCATCAGAGCAGGAGGCAGTGGTCGTGGCCTGGGCACACGAAGCTGGGAAATCCCAGCCTCCCCTCCTGGTGAGATGCCACTCCTGCATTCCCACTGCCTGCCAGGGAAGCCAGCCTTGGCAAGAGGAGTGTGCTGCTTTTAAATATGGAGAGGACTCCGGAAGAGAAAAGGGGCGAGACCAAGGCCCAAAACAAGTATTTCCAAAAACTTTTATGATGAAATTTTTTACCAAATTAGATGGTGATTTGCAGGATAAACTTTAGCTTCCAGCCAGCTCAGATGTGGCTTACTCCACGAAGTTCTCCTCAATTCCTCCCTCTAGAAGAAATGCTTCCAAACGCCTAGAGCTTTTTATCTGTTTGTCTTTCTCACCTTCTACTTGCATTATAGCTATTTGTATAATTGTCTTATCTTCTGCATCAACTATAATTAACTATAATTCTGCCTTCTTCAGGGCAGAATCCATGTCTAGTTTATCCTGGTGGCCCCAACATCTGGCATGCAAAAGAAGTTCAAGATGGGAGACTGTCCTTAGGGAATGGAGAATGCCTCTTCGCACAGGAGTGAGGAAAATGGGCTCCCATGGGTCACTCTCAGAATGGACGTCCAGTCCTTCCTCGCACTCTGTTCAGTAACTGCCAGAGGCGTTGTACAAGGGTGATCAAGAGCACAGAGTCTGGGACCCGCTAGCCTCAGCTCAAATCCTGCCACTTAGAAGTTCTGTGTCCCAGATAAAGTGCTCAATCTCTTCATTCCCCAGTTACCTCATCTGCGACATGGGGATAACACGGTACCTTAATAAGGCACCCTCTTCATAGACTTGTTGGGGGATCAAGTGAGTTAATATGAAAAAAGCAATCGAACAGTACCTGGCCCATAGGAAGCAGTCAGTAAATAGTAGCTAGTACTATCATTTGTATTCACTGCTTCTCTATGGCTATGACTAAGAAATTTTTTAAATCATGCATACCATAGTAAAAATATTTTGAGCATATACTTCCAATAAATGTATATTAATGTACTTGTAAATTATATAGACATACAATTATTCAAACTTATAAAGCATATAAAGACAGAAATAAAGTGCATGAGATAAAAACAAATCTAAATAGAAGTTCTAATCTTTTCTTCTCACACTGAAATAGATTGTCTTGTTCATTTGCCAAAGTAAACACTTTCTCTGGAGACATTTGGTTGTGTCAACACCTTTGGTTGTCAGCAAACCTTGATGACTTTGGCTGCACGGATGCTGGGTAAAAACAAAGGAATTACTTATAAAATACAAAATGTGGCGAGTGCGTAAAAAGATGTCAAATGTGGGGAAATTAAAGAACAAGAAGGGTAAGCAGTAAAAGAGAATGCATATTGGAAAGAAGACCAGGAAAAGAACAAAACAAAATATCTTTGAATTATAATTTGTAGAAAAAAAAATTCCAGAACAGTTTCGGGTTTTAGACTTTTATCTGCAAAATTAAAATGAGCCAGGATTGGACTACCCAAAGATCAATCAAGTATTTTTCTTGTGGCCTGTGACATAATCCACACTTTTTCCATTTTTCTAAGATAAGTAAGAAAAATGGGTGCTCAGTGGCCAAATTACCCGGCACTCCTCCAGGGGCCTCTGTGGGACAGGAAGAGCATGGAAATTACTTAAGCTGTCATAATCAGCCTGAAAGAATTGATAGGTTTCTGTTTGCACAGCCAGCCACCCTGCTTGTTCTTTTTCTCATTCTTTCCCAAGAAAATGGCAACCCAGAACTTTTACTCTAAGGACAAAGTCACACTGTCCTCCTGTAACCTTTTCCATTTAAGGATCTCG